CTTCGTGTGCAGCAGCTGTAGATCTAAGGCAGGGTCTGGCCAGAAGCATTCCTGGGTGCTTTCGGCGGGGTGGGCAGAGTCAGGACCGGTGCGGAGGCCCGAAGCTGTCCCCATGCTCCTAGGGCGGCGTTTGGGGTTTGAATAGACGGAGCTGGACCGGGCGGCCGATGCCTGGAAGCGCAGCCTCCGCGCCAGCCCGGCCACAGTCCTGCAATTGTTCGGCCACTCTGGAGGGAAGAGGAGGGGGAAAAAAAAAGCAAACAACAAAAAAAACCCACCCCATTCCAAGCAGTGCCAAATTTTCTTTGATATGTTAATCTTTTGATAACAGTTTGAAAAGCCCTTGGAGACTTTTTTTAGATTTTAGACAAAATAGTTCATTTGTCAGGACTTCCCTTGTAGATAGGGTCTCAGTTATTAAGAACTGCCTCTCCAACTCGTGATAACAAAAGCAAGTGCAGAGGACAGCTGCTGGACTGCTTGTTGGTAAGAGACTCTTTTGGTTATCTCAGGATTTTTATGCCTATCTGAGAAGAATAAAATAGGGGATGTTTAAGATCCAAGTTTGTGAGTTTGTTTATTTGCATATTTTAAGCAGAAAAATGATGACAGCATAAGCATATATAATAATGTGATATTTTTTAATGTATATCCATACTTGGATTTTTCTGAATATTTGAGCTGTCAAAAATATATTTTTTCACCTGAGAAACTTGGTACTTAAATTGCCAAGTGACTTCAAACTTGAAGGATAGAATTTGCACTGAAGTAGTTTAATTATGCCAATTATTAGAAAACTGACTTCAGATAAACTATTATTCTTTCAAAACTGTGACTTACAGAACTCTTCAAGCATACTGATTGAGACTACTGTAATTCTGTAACAACATTTTCTTTAATAAGTGTGCCATGAGCTCATTTATATCTTTTACACTGTTGCTACAAATATTTATTTCCTGTAAATATTTTGGTAGAACTGCTTGGTATCCTGGTTGTTCAGTCAAGATACATCAACAAGTAGGTATTGGTGCAGTAATTCAGAGAAGGTGCAACATTTTGTTTGCTGTGGGGGGATGCATGTAGTTTTAATAAGGTCTATACTCTGCTGTAATTTCTCCAGGGATATAATTTATGATCTACTTCAGCTCCAAAATGATTCTGACTTGAATCAGGAACTGCAGATGCTGTCCTGCACATCTACAGACTTTGCAGGACCGAGGCAAATAGCAAATGCGATTTAACTTAATTTTAATATGCTTTCTTTTTTTTTTTAGCAAAGTTGCAAATGTACTCATTAGGCTTGTGATTCTACTGTGTGCTCTTAGAAGTACTTACAGTTCAGAGACTGTTAAGCTGATGGCTATACCATTTGTTAAATTTATACTTATCTTCTAAATTATTCCAAGTGATTTAATTCTCAGTCTCAATGTCAAAGAACAGTCTTTTACCGAATTTTCTGGTATTTTCCACTTTTGTGAATCTAGAATATGCTTAGCTGTACAGTATTAGCTCAACGAGGGAAAATATTGAAATGGAGCAACAGTAACTTTCACAATTTACATTGTTTTTAGCCCCTTTCTTTAAAAGGAATAAATAGTGTTTCGGGCTCACTATTTTTGTTAAAGGGAGAATGGACTTCTCCATCTCTTCACTCCAGGAAGCTTGTCCTGGAGAGAGGCTGAGTGCCAGTGCTGGCACTTTATATTTGAGCATTCCTGAGTGCACATCGCTGCTTGTGAGTGGACTTCAACCTCCCTTCTATTTGAGCACTAGTAGAGCGTCATTCTCCCTTGTAGTCTGAAAGTCCAAGGCTTATATTTAAATATTTCAGGTATTGAAATGTTTAGTTTTCTGCTGGACTACAGAAGGAGTTAATGATCAAATGCAGAATGCTAAAGTCTCCTCTGAATTGGTGAGGTGCTGCTGCTTCTTTTTGTATTCTGACACGTTCTGAGCCTGAAGTCCCTCCAAGGAGGACAGCACTCTGGCGCCCGTGGTGGTGAACCCCAGCTCTTGGCAGGACAGTGAGAAACGGAGCCAAGGTAGTTTTGTGTTTGAACTCTTGGTGATGAGCTTGGGCTGATGCTGTTCTTTGTTGCTGAATAGTAATGATTTTCATGACCCCATCAACTAAGAAAAGATCACTTATGTTTTCCAAGTTTAGAGATTTGAGTTGACTATGGAAAATTACAGGCACTGTGAAATATTGAGGATCTGTGTGTTAGTTGAAGGTTGCACCGTAAATGAGTCTGTATAAAGTAATGCAGGTGGAGCTAACGAGGTGAGTCAGAAATACCCTCCTAATGCTCCCCATGTATTCCCTGTATGACTCTACCCAGCTGTTCAAAGAACTCATTGAATCACAGGAATTATTGCTGGTGCTCTCAGTGCTGAGATTTCCCTTCGTGCTTCTTCAGACCGACAACTTGACACTCCTTCCCGGCTGTGGAATGGCCCTAAATTAAAGCGGTTGCGCTTTCTCTCTCATGCTGCCGCAGTGTCCCATAAGGTTCCTGTTCTGACGTGTTGGCCATATGGAAATCTGCGATGAGATTTGTTGATCTTGAAGCTGTTTGCATTTATTTTGCTGCCTGTATCAAGCACAGTTGTTGCTAGGTGTGTTCAAGGTTGGAGTTTTGCCTGCAGGCACGGGTTTTGGTGTTGCAGGACGCTATAGTGGGGAAATGCATGTCTGGTTAAGAGCAGGCTGGTTCAAGGATGATAAATCTAATAATTCTCTCATGGTCCTGTGAATTCTGTTAGGACTATAACTATAAATACATGCAACCTTTTCTGGCTGCATGACTTCTTGACTGAATGTGATTTGTACAGTGTACGTAATGTTCTTTGATGTTAATAATTCAAAGGTTGTTCTCAGGAGCTTTCTTCACAGTCCTGTGTGGTTTAGGGCACACATTTTGACTAGTTTCATATATATTCATGTGTGTGTGTGTATCTGTCACCCAGGATAAAAAACTGCTGAGAGAAAAAAAGTGGCAATTTTATCAAAAATGTGTTTTAGAACTTGCTTGATGTATATATAGTTAAGGAGGTATCAGTGGTGCACATCTTTTGGCTTAATTTTCAAATTACTCTGCAGTAAGAAGGGTGCTCATAGTTCAGTATTGGTTAGGAATAGAAAAGTTTCAGCCTAACAAGTCAAGGAGCGTGTGAGCTGGTGTTCCTGCCAAAGGAGACAGTTGTTGCCAAATTAACTTTCTCTCATACAGAACAAAATACAAGCTGTGTCAGGCAGTTGTTGTGCCTGAGCCTGGTGTTGTGGTGCAGTTCTCTGCTTGGAGCCTGTTTCTTCCACTCAGCAGGGGGAGTAGATTTCTGAGGACACAGATCTGGGCAGCAAAGGAAATCTGTTGGGTTCCTGCTTTGTTTGTGGGCTTAATTGGAAAGGAGGTGGTGGCTTGTAGAAAATGTGCAAAGATGTGCTGATGTTGATGATAAACTGCTGGAGTGGGAAGGAGGAAGGACCTTTTGAAGCTGGCATTGCTGCTGAATGTAAGTGCAGGGGTCCAGGGGCTGGCTTTGAGAGGATCTGACTTGGAGTCTGGTGATTTGATTTGTGAAAATGCTGGGGAGTTAATGACAGCAAAGAACTTGGTAATGGTTGTGCTTTTGTCATAATGCTGTCAATAAAATGTTTTAAAAAGTGTCGTCCTAAGTCTTCAATGGATAGCTGAGATGAAATGGATAGCTTTCACCTTGATTTACTACTGATTTTTTTTGGTAGTAGCCTTCTTTATGAAAAATGACGGTTACAGTAACTACTTGTGCTATGACAATGAATCCTTAATACTTGAGGACTGCTTATACGCTGTGGTAGTAAGTGCTGTGTTCTGAGAGATCTATGTATGTGCAGTAAATAAAATCAAAGGCTGTACAGTGTCATTGCAGAGGATGATAGCTAATCCAGTTCTTGGCAGGTGAGCGCTGGCTATTCAGTGGATTTGACCATGGAAGGTTTCTGTGGAAACACGATATGGGTGTGATAATTATAAATTGTGTGCAATTAACTTGTACAGGGGTACCCAAATGAAGGTTAGATGCAGTTCTAAGTTCAAAAATGTAGCTTTTTGTCATGGTATCTTTGTTTTTCCTTTGTTTATGTAATATTGAAATTTATGATCCTCCTAGTGTGTTCTAGCCTTTTGTAGTTCTTCCCTGGTGGAGCAGACATCTGTGTGCAGTATGTTCATCTCACAGACAGCTTCAGAATTTTTCATACCTTCCCCTATTCGTGTAACTTGTGATTGTAACTTGTCCTTGAAGCATTCCTCAAGATTTGGAACTATGAGAAATTTACAATGAGAAATGAGCCCCTTGGTATGAATTGAATGGTAAAAGAGTTGGAAAGAAGGGAAAAGACTAACTGACCATTAACTATGTCTTGATTTAGAAATATTAGACTGGGGACTAAACTTCTTTTAGCATTTGCCTATTTTTTTGCTCAGATGGGAAATGCATATCTCAGGGGTACACCACCTTACCTCTTAAAGCATCTGATGGGAGCTCTTCTGTATAGAATGATAAAAATGTCTAATCTTTACCTACTTTTAAGCTTTTGTACAAGTTTAATTTAAGTTTCCAGTGTGAAGTTTGTAGAATGTACTAAAAACTGCTCGCTGCATGCGGAATCATAGAATCGTAGAATGGCCTAGGCTGGAAGTAACCAAGTTGGATACAAGCTCTTTTTCCTCCTTCAAAGCCTGTTGTTTCGGCAGTATTTCCCTTGTGTTCATCCAGTGTTCAGTCTTAAAGCTTTGCTAGTTCTCCTTGGATTGCTGCTACTGGAAATTAATAACAGACAAATTTAAGATCTATATTAATATGGTGTCAGTGTGTTTTCTGTGTATACACTTACAGAAAATAACTCAAAGCAAACTAATACGTAGGTATAAAATCAGTAATGTTGCTTCAGTTTTCAATTCTTTTGTTGTTAAAGGTCTTCCATATCTCAAATTGAGAAGTTCCATATCCTGCTAAACATGGAGAAAGAAGAAAAGAAATTTGTCAATAAAGCAGAGGAAGATGAGATGGTAATGAATTCTCTTTGTCTACTTTTATACAGTGAAATACATTTTAATGGTTTTCTCTCTAAATGGGACATACTACATCAGGAAGTGGACTGTCTCAGTTTAAATCAGTTTAACAGTTTTGTAAGTTTATCTGTGATAATATTTTTTGATTTAACAAATCACATCTTGGAATATGAAATGTTTTTGTTGAAAGCCTTTGCAAAAGGTGTTGGGTTGGCTACGTTGATATCAGGAGTCCAGTAGGTAGCAGATTTTGATACCTGACAACTTTGGTTCTTTTTTTTCTCTAGAAAAAGAAAAATTGGATTGTGTTGTGGTTTTTTTTTTTTTTTCCTTCAAATCTCGGAACTCCATAATCTGACTATGCTCTGCATACTCTTGCATATTGATATTTCTGCAGATTGCAAGCAGTTTTATAGGTATTTGGTAGCACATAAGCTTATTTTTCCAATTGAAAGAATGGTATCTCTAATCATATGTCCTGGAAGATGTAGCAGTTAGCTTCAACAGGAATATCGTGGCAGCTGATATTTAAATTTCTAGCCTATTCTAGAGATGGCAGAAAGTATTTGGGGTGTATAGGGATATCTGTTGTAAAAAAAGGTAGATTCCTGTGAATTGAAGACCTTGTTTTGAATTTTGCAGACTGCTGGGAAAAGCTGCTCTTCACTAGAACAGATCTTAATGCAGAGGGTAGGCTAATACACATTACAACAAAAAAAGAAACCGAGATGCTTATGGTCTGGTCACTAAAATAGACGCTTTTGGGAGGAAATAATTTTGTTTTGTCCTAAAAGAAGCATTAACCTATCCTGCTCTCTTCCACCCACGTGTTTTTATTGGTAAGGAGTGAGTACTGGCTCTAGTGTTTTGGGAATAGCGGAGAATAGGTTTTGTCTCTGCTTTTTGTCAGCTGAGAAGGCTGCAAACCAAACTTCCTGAAAAGCCTTTTCTTAGGAAAGGAGTTTAAACAGTTTCTAATAATTCTGTTTAATGAAAAGTGCAAAAAAATTACAGAAAGTTGGTGTCAATACGAACAATGTGGGTGGGACTCAATGGGAAACTTCATTACTCTTTCACAGCAGGAAATATCATGTGATGATGTAATGTGAAACTCAGGAATGTAACACAGTATCTAGTAGGACACTGAATTATTTTCTGTTCCTGGCTGTCATCACTTTAAGTTGGTACTTGACTTTGACCAAGGCACACTTAGGATTTTATGTTGTTTGGTTTGTTTTTTAATGGGAGAAGAGGATTTTTCCAGCTGATGCAAGTTACAGAACCTTTGACAACGTGGCTTGCAGTTTCTGAAGTTTCACAGTAGCATTTCTTGTTAAATTGCAAGCAAAATAAGCCAGTTTCTCTGCTAAAAAGTGATATTTGGTAAATATATTCACAGATTTGTTTAGGAAGTATGAAATTTGGCTGGTACTGGTAATTCAGAACTATTTATGCCAGCTAATTGGGTGCTAATGTAGCAAAGTCAGCATTTGACAAAACCACATGTGCATTTGCTCTTAAATGCTTAGCTGACTTCTGCCAAATTATGGTCAAAAATTGGTTTGCTGGGAGTTAAGGCAGGTTGTGTTGCAGCTTCAGTCCTGGGGAGCAGTGCAGAGACAGGTCTTGCCATGAAATATTTTGAAGTTGAGTGGATGTTCTGCCTTTGTCAGGCTTTTCCTGATGTTTATATTTCTGACTGAGCAAAGCAGTGTTCCTCTTTTTTGCCGCTCCATCATGTAATAAGTTTTTTAACTATTTCCTTCCCACAGATAAGAAATAGGAGAAAATCGCTTTGAATTTGATTCATTTTAAGTACTTCATTGTATGAAAAATTAATGTTGGCTTCCTGAGCCAGAGTAATCGAGAGGGTTGTTGTTTGTTATTTGTTTCTCTGTTTCCATGCAGGAGATCTATGGCTATGATCTGTGTCGCTGGAAGTTGGTGCTAGTTACTGTAGGAGTGATCTGTTCTGGTGGCTTTCTTCTCCTCCTCCTCTACTGGATGCCTCAGTGGCGTGTGAAAGCAACGTGCAAAAGGACTACACTTAAAGACTGTGAAGTGGTTCTGCTGAAAACAACCGTAAGTCCACAGGAGGGTGTGCTTCTCCCAGTTTGCAGTTGTTTCGCAGATGTAGACCTGATTTTGTGGTGCAGCACTGCAGGGCTCTGCTCCTTACATAGCCTTGCTGCCCACGTGGGAACACTGACAGCTGTATGTAGAGGACATAGCAAAAATAAAATCTTTGCTTTTGGATTTTAAGAATTAAATAAATGAATGCACTAGCTGTCAAAAGTTACAGGATAGATACTTTGTTGATATAACCTGTTAAGGTAGTTTTCAGATTTTCCCTCTCTTATTCAGCAAAATACATTTGTTCAATTAAGGTGTAACTGTGAGTCCAAATGTGGTTTGATTTCAAGTGATTTTCGTCTGCTGCTGCTGTACAGTCGCTGGTTATGATCTTGTGCTAAGTCGTCAGTTATTGGAAGTTGCAGGGTGTGTGCAGCTGCATGCAGAGGAGTCTCATAGTTCCTGCTACTACAGAACAACTATATTCAGTTATGAAGTGCTGAAGATGTCGAAATTCAAGTACCGAGACTCACTGCTTTATGAATCTTTCAGTGCGAAAACCATGCTTTAGAATTGTGGAAACAAAACGTGTTCTTAAGGTAGCTGATACTAACTTTGGGATATCTTCTGTATTTATGTATGGAGTCTGCTAATCTCTTGGCACGTTTTGCAACAGCTGTTGTAGCTGTTTAAATGCTGTTTAAATGCTAACTCATTTTTTCCTTTTTCTTAAGGATGAATTCAAGATATGGTTTTGTGCAAAGGTTCGCATTATGCCTTCTTTGGGAGCCAGTCCTTTACAGAATCCTAATGCTATTGTACACAAGGTTTCAAATGGCCATGCTGTTCATTTCTGTGAATCTGCTGCAGATGAGAATAAAAGTGATTTGAAAAAGTATTTTCCTGTAAGTAACCCTGCAGTACTATGCTTGCTAATTTTCAAAGTGTGTCAAATAGTGTCTGGAGTAAACACACACAATACACCATGCACATGAGCTGCTACTTTTGTCTGAAAGGCTAACTCTCCTTCCCTGGGGGAAGCACAGATCTTGTCCTCAGTAACCTGCTACTGGAGCTTGTGAATGCCTGAAAGATTATTTTGAATGAAAACTGTTCATTTTCCAGTGAAGTTTTTCTAAATGCCCTTTGTATCACTATTCAGAATAAAGTCAGCCAGAAGAGAGGTGTTAAGCGGTGCTGATTTTATATCTATATCTGCCCTTGCAGGTTCGTTATTTCACACATCACAGCACAAAGTATTTCTGGAATGATTCAGTTCAAAGTTTTGGTGTTGTACGGTAAGAATACATTTTTCTTTTGTGTTGTGCTTCAGACTGCATTAAAAACAAAACAATAGCATGCCTAAGATCATGGTGAAAATTGGTGTTGTATTCTGACCAGCTGTTTTAGCTCAGTGAGTCTCTGAACCATGGTGAGAGCAGGGAGATTTTAACTTGGTGTGACTTCGGAAAGATGGTATTTGTTTAATCTACCCTTATCAAGCCTGATTTGTATAGCGTGGCAGTCTGCCGACCTCTGCAGGCTTTTTGCCTGTTCTTGGAGTGTTACTTGAGAACCAAAGTGCCGGTTTATAGACATTAATTCTCCTTCTATAAACTCTTAAAAACTTTCCTTCTGATGGAATAATTTGTATTTTTTTGCATTGCTGCTGAGCTAGACCCAAAAGGAGTATCTAGGAGGAAAGGAATTCACCGAATACCTTGTTACTCACCTTTGTGTGGGTCTCCTGCTACTTTTTAGTCCATTTGAGTTGAATTTGATCCCTCTTTAACTCTTTAGTAGCAAAATCAGGTCTCTTACATTGACGGAAAACATCATTATTAGACAGTACTAGCTGCACTCACTCAGTGTGGTGTGCTGTGTTTTCTTTTATCCAGCAGCACTGTTGCATGTGGAAAAGTCCAAGCACTATATATAGAAAAAATTAATGACCAATGACTGAAGGAAAGAAAAATAGCCAAAATCTGTGTAAGAAGAAACATAATCTGCAAATTTTTATTATGTTTTTGAAAAAAGTGTGTGCAAGTACTGTTGAAAGTTATCAGTTTAAAGAAATGATGGTAGTACAAACAGGTACAAAACTGAGTGCTTCTTTGGAAGGATCGAAGTGTCTCAGCCCATGTATAAATAATTAAAGCTTTGTATGCATTTTTTATGTTAAGCCTCCCATGAATTACAGTGGTGCAGGTAGTGATGCTTGTCATTTTAGATTACAAGCTTCTGTTTTCATGCCCATAGTGTTGCTAATTTAAAGTGTTCAAAGAGGATATTTCCCATAGATGAGATTAAAAAACTCAAAACTATACTTTTGTGCTAAGAACAGGTATGGGAAAAAAAATTGTACAACTCCATGTGTTTAGAAGAAATTGTTGTTCCTGTAGCATTAAAGCAGTGACTTGAAACATGGCATTTGTTGGCTGTTCGACTGTGTCTTTTGATGTTCTTGTGATAACTCAGCCAATTTATAAGCCTTGGAAAAATCTCAGATATGCTTGTGAAGTTATTTGAGCATTTATTCAATCACATTCTTGCCCACACGCCAGACTTCCATTCGTTTGATGTATTAGCAATGACTGAACCTGACCAGTTGTTCAGTCAGGTACTGTAGCTGAGCTGGACACTATTATTTAGCAATTTAATGATAAAGAGAATAAACTGATGGATCTGAGATATAGGCAGTACTGGCAGAGTACTAAGTCACTTATGCACATTGAGAGTGTGCTATAGAATCATAGACTGGTTTGAGTGGGAAGGGACCTTAAAAGTCACCGAGTTCCAACCCCCCTGCTGTGAGCAGGGACACCTCTCTCCCACTAGACCAGGTTGCTCAAAGCCTCATCCAGCCTGGTCTTGAACACTTCCAGAGTTGAGGCATCCACAGCTTCTCTGGGCAACCTGTTCCAGTGTCTCACCACCATCATAGTAATGAAATTCCTCCTACTGTCTAATCTAAATCTACCCTGCTCTAGTTTAAAACTCTTGTCCTATCGTCACATGCCCTCATAAAAAAAATCCTTCCTCAGCTTTCCAGTAGCCCCCTTCAGGTACTGGAATGCTGCTATAAGGTCTCCCTGGAGCATATAACGTTAAAGTGCGTTACATATGATCATGTGGTGAAGTACTAGATACGACCTGTGAAATAATACCTGAACTTACGAATGATAAGTATTGTGAGAAGAAGTCTTAAAAATTTGTCCATCGTCAAGATACTTTTTCTTAATCTACTCCTCAGTTTATATAAAAACCAGAAATCAGTAGTACCTCATAACATGGTAGAGAATCAAGTTAATATTTGTAAAGAGATGGTATGTGAGATAGAGAGCTTTATAGTAAAATCCATAAGGTAAGCAACACGGTTGTAGTTGTGATCTGAGCACAGTACTGCCTCATGAAGGTAGATTCACTCTGCGCAGTTAATTATGCAAGTATCCAGAGACACAACAGTTCAATCATGTAATTAAAGACTTGGCACAATACAGAAGGAGAGACAGATCAAGATTTCTTGGGCAACTAATTCAGTTATGAGAGCTTGAGTTACATATCATTGTTCTTTTTATAATAGCGTAATAGAAGATCACTGTTTTAAACACAGGAAACCAAGTGTAATTGTTCTTAAACTAAATCAGACTTGGTCACATAGCCAAAGAGGATGCAACTTTGACCTTATGTGTCTGTTTTGTTTTAGCTAGTGTCAAATGAATCTTTGAGTGAGTTGATGAGTGCTTTATGTAATAAACTGTGTGCGCACAGGGATTTTTTTAAGTGCCCTGGGAATTCAGTACTCTAACACTACTGTACAAAGCAGATAACATCCTGCCAGAAGCTTTTGTCTCTGCATGGGCGTTACACACATAAGTATGCATATTTACATATAAAACACTTATTTTAGGGACCCTTCTTAAACCCACTGTTACATTCCTTTTAGTGCAGGAAAAGGAAAATTCTCCCAATCTACCCAAAATGATTCAAAAGGCACAGTTATTGAGAGAATTAGATCTTTATTCATCTAAAAATTATAATTTTAAAATCTTTGAACTTGAAAAGTTTTGGAGAAACTTTGTAAACCTGTGCCCATATTAACGCATGAACATTTTCACCTATTCTTTTGCAAGAAGTCATCGGAAATGTCCTAGCCTTTGCAATAGTTAGGGTGTTTAAAGCTTTCCCTGTGTTCTAGAGAATAGTAATAATTGTTACTAGATGTGCACAATATAGAGATTTTTCTGCACTGGGACAACTCTAACTTAATAGATAGCCAATATAAAAAAGACTTGTGTTGAGTAGGGATGGTTTTGTCATGCTATCCGTGAAAGCCTTTTGGAAGGTAATGATTATTTTCCTGTGCATCCAAAGTACACGTGCTAGAAAATGCCTGGATATTGGAGATGGTAGGTCGGATTTACTGAGTCTGGTAGTTGAAGTGATCCCATAGCTGTAAACATAATCATGTTTCAGGTGTGCTTGCCTATCTGCAGATCTCCTAAGCTCTAGCATTTGCTTTCACAGCATGTAGAAAAGTCCTGTGAAGATAAGTCTTCCAGTGATAACAAAGTACTTGAAGTGTAGGCTGTACAATACCTGGTCGTGGATACAATTGTGATAACATGATGCTGCACAGTAGCTTCAGCCGACATTTGATAAATTGGTTACTAATTGTTTCTATAATGCTTCCAGTACTACTTAGAGACAAATGAAGATAACTGGAAGAAATATTAATCCATATTGATTTCATGTAATGTTTCATAAAACTTGCATGCTTTTTCTTCTTAGAGGTCTTTGAATACTGGTTAGGCTAGTATTTTACTTCATTTTTATGCGTATCTTCATTTTGATTGAAATAGGTACGACTATCTGTCGGAGTAAGATGTGACTGCTTTTAACATCTCATTGGTATCTGCAGTTGTGACAAAAGCAGCCAGAACAACATTAATCCATAGACTTTGGTCTTTTATTATACAGTGTAACACTTGGCAGAGTCCTAGCTCTTTTGAATTACTGAATACCTCATTTTGAACATTGGACTTCTTAAATAACTCATTGGCTTTTTCTTTTACTTAGAGGTCTAGGTGAATCTACATTCTGTTCTTCAATTCATAATGAACACAGCACAGGACTGACAAAGGAAATGCATGATTACAGGTAATGTTATAATGTTATGTTTTTTGAGGGAAGAATTGGTTTTCTTAAATTACCTGTGCTCAGAGTGTTAACAGAAGACAATTGAGTGATGAATGTTGACAGATAGACTCATATACTTCCTTCAAAGAAGACTGTTAGAGGTATGAAATTCTTATTTTTCTTACCTGTACATTGAGTAGGAACTAGACTCTGATACTGTGTTGACTTTTCTCAAACTGAATTTGGGAATTCAGTGAGACTGTGGGAATTCAAGCTATTGCTCAAAGTAATTCAGAATGTATTTCTGAAATTGTATTTACTACTTAACGTTTTGAAATAAGATGGATGTACGAAAAGAGTAGCAAGCAGTTATGTTTTCGGCCACGTTGGCAGTATACAGTGAAATTTGGCAGTTGATGTAAAACAAAGTAGTTATTTTTTCTGCATAACTCACCTTTATGTGATATGAATGTTACCACAACATACTGTTGTTACTGAAGGGCGTGTGTGGGTTCAGAGGTGAATAGACTGGCTCCCGGTGGAAAAGTCCATCAAGAGTTCTGTAGGTGGAAAGATGCTCGTCTGTCTCAAGCTGCAGATTCTTGAGGGGAATGCTGAGGGACACCACTCTGCAGCTTCTAGCTTTCTTTCCCATCCTTAGCTAGTGCTCATTGTGAGAGAGGGGGATTGGTGTGCCAGATAACTAATAGGGAGTATTGGGTGCCAGGAAGCAGCAAACCTCACCTAAACTGTAACTAATTTTTTTATTTGGGGAAGATCAGGCTGAAACTTTGTAGGTCTCGGGACCTCTCAATTTTAAAAGCTTAGTTAGTATCACAGGTGTGTCCCATACCTTGCCTGGATCTGTTTCTGGTTGGTTGGGGCTAAATGTATTCCCCAATTCTTTTTTAGTTGTGGTTGGCAAGAAATAACTAGGGGAAAAAAATCCTGATTTTTAACATGCTGTTTTAGACTAATGGTGTAAATATGCCTGTCGTGGGACACAGCTGAAGTGCACAGGTAGAGAACTTGGTCTAGAACGAAAAGCACCTTTAAAAGGTAACTTTAATGGTACATAGTTCAGGGATTTCTCAATTACCAAATGTAAACAGAACGCTGGAATATGTGTTGTGAAAATGTGGATATGTACATAATTATTGGTCTTCTAATGTATTGGTATGCTACGCTAACCCAGAATACTCTGGGTTATGTTGCATTCCTGGGTAGTTTTTCTGTGTGTGTCTTCTTTGCTTGTTTGCAGGTTTTTTTGTTAATTTGGTTGGGTTTTGCAAATGAGACCTTAGAGTTTAAAATATGGAAGCATCTCCTTGCTGATCATTCTGTTTTCTGTCAGTTTGTGTCATTTCCTATAACAAAAGCCTTTACTTTAAGAACATCTTCTAAGGGCTTCTCATGTCAATGCCAAGCAGCTCAGATCCCATCAGGAGTTAGTCTCTTGCCCCAACTCCCATGATTTGCATTTCTTCGTGCTAAGAGTAAAACTAAGATACCGAACTATGAAAGCAGTGTCTTACGGCAGGGTAAGGGTTAACACTTGTTTGAGCTTGAGTTAATAAGAACCAGGTATTGGCTTTCAGAATGGCATGCTTAATAACATTGGACCTATACACAGTTTACAGGGAAATCTTGTTATGAAAGAACCTAAGAATCAAGTTACAGTTTAAATTGAAGGATAAAATAATTATCTTTGTATTGGAACATCTCACTGGGTAAATGTTTTCTGATAAACGCCTTTTGGAACAATATGATAAATAAAAGGGGCTACAGATTAAATAATGTTTTATATTTATGCGTGTCAATGGAATTACTTTGAATGAGTAAGATTTCTTATTGAAATTTTAATTGTCTTTTGTATATTTCTTTTTTTAATGCAGAAAAGCATTCTATGGAGTAAATGAAATTGCTGTGAAAGTGCCTTCCATTTTTAAGCTTCTGATTAAGGAGGTAAGATATTTTCTTTAACAAATTAGAAAAAAGTACTTAATTATAAGTTACTTTAAGTACAACTGTTGGACTGTTTTTCAAACAGAAACCAGAAAACTTCTCCCAGAGCCCAGCTCTGAAGAAAATTGATATGGACCTTTATTTTTGAGGTCTCCAAACTTAAGAGGCCTTAGTCGTAAGCTCTTCAGAGTTTACAACCTGATGCCTTAGCAAGGATTTAGAAAATGTGTGAGAATTCTTTGCGAGTGTGCATCTTATTTGGTTTTTTTGGTTAATTTTAAACACAAAACAGCTTATTGTGTTCTCCTTTATCAGGCCAGAGATTATACAGTACAATATATGCATCAAATAAAATGTGGGTTTTGCATATTCTTTTGTTGGATTTGTTCCGTTTTTCTTGTATCGGATGGATTTGAATGACTGACTTGTTATCCATGTACTCTAATAAGGATAAAAGCTTTGGAACGAAGAAGCTCTCTAACCTGAACTAATGGAGTAAGAACTTGGTGTCAGGGCATTTATTAATAAGAAATAGGTACTAGTAACATCCAAAGTAATTGAGAATTCTAACTTAAGGTGAATCAAATATTCCTATAATTTTCCCTTAAGGTGTAGGGGGAAGTGCCTGCAGTCTTGAAAGTGTGCATTCATGCATTATTTTAGTGATAACTGCTGAGAAAGTAGTGAAAAAGAGGGATCAACTTGGGAAAACAGACAAAAATAGTGTATAAATGAACTGAAAGGGTTGATTCTGACTCTTCTGATGGAGAATGCATGTGACCCTTTGATGTAACTTTGATGTTCTGTTGTTCTAGGTTCTCAACCCTTTTTACATTTTCCAGTTGTTCAGTGTGATATTGTGGATCACTGATGAATATCACTACTATGCATTAGCAATTGTGATCATGTCTGTAATATCCATTGTTAGCTCACTCTACACTATTAGAAAGGTAAGTTCAAAGAAAACAGCTGCATCTTTTCAGCTTTTTACAGATTGGTTTGTTTTGATGTGAAATTGCCTACAAATCTTGAAGAATTTTTAGGAGTTAGGTAAAATATTCTCTCAGGTTTTCTCTCTGAGCTGCAAGACTTTGGATTTAAGTTCTCTAAGAGCTTTCACTGCTGACTTTGCATGCTGTTGAATCAGTAGACCTCGGAAAACAGAAACACTACTTCACTTAGATAAAACCCGTACATGAGTTTATGTAGCAAGTTGTATTGGCAGTAGTGATTCCATTTTGCATTGTTTTCTTTTGTTTGAAAAAGTTCAGTGGAATCGAGCACTAGCCAGACATGTGGATTGTTAAATCGGTGATGCGTTTTTTCTCTGTAGACTTGGCTGTAGCTGATGGAAACCAAAGTAGTAATATCCTTAAATTACAATCTCTGAATTAAGACCAGAGACAAACAAAACGTCGCATATCGTAATGCAGTTTCATACAGCTGCTGCAGTTTTTACTCACGTATGTTCAATGACCAACTGTTTTTGTAACATGCTGTGTGACAGTGTGTATTTGCTTTCAGAGTGCTGTTAAAAGTAGGAACCTGTACAGTTTGATGCCCTCCAACTTTACTTGCCCATAAGTTTCCTAAACTATGAATTTTTGGAGTAACATTTTGTTGTGAAAAATTGTTAATAAAAAAAATGTCATTACTTCTGCTTGTAGCGATAGAATATGCATTTAGAAGATGACAAGCTGTGCTTTTAAATACTGAACTGTTTTCTCCCCTTTGCAGCAATATGTTATGTTACATGACATGGTAGCAGCTCACAGCATTGTCAGGGTTTCTGTCTGCAGAGGAAATCAAGGTAAATTTCACAGGCAGTTTGGAAGGTTGAATTTAAATCGCTCGATAAGTATGAGTGTGAGGTTGGCATGCATCTGTTCTTTCTTTGATCAGCTTGCCGTGCTTGCGTTTCCTAGCAAAGTCGCATGGGAAAAGGAAAAGTTGCAAAGTGGAATTTTGATAGGATAGTCAACTCTTCAGGATTGTTCTTCTGGATGGTATTTTTAGTGAATATCAGGTTTGTTCTAGTTGAGGTGCTTGTCCTATCCCTGTTGCTCATTATCTACCACTCCACATACGTAACTATCATTGTAATTTCCTTTTTCGGCTTAGAGATGTGCATGTGCTGGGTTTCCATTACAATTTATTTACCAGCAGCGGCTGCAAATTGATTTCTGGACTTGTGCTTGTTTGGATGTCACAGTAGTTGAAGATAAGCTTTGGTGTGTGATCCTGTTTTGTAAGACATGCATTGGTGTTGGACTTGTGACTTTAACCTGTTATGCTGTAGTTAATTGCTATATATCTCTTTCTTTTCTTACGATGAACTATATTCATGTGCTCTAGAGTTTAAGCTGTGATGTAATTGGATTTTGCAATGGCTTTTTCTGTATCTTTTAAAAATCTTTTCATAATGCCATTAATAAAATGGGATATAGTTTTAATTGTCACCACCCAGATCTTAGCCATGATGATCTTTATCAGGTTTTGTAGATGGTGGCTGTTTTCAAATAAACTTGTTTGTGTTTCAATTCTCAGAAATAGAAGAAATCCTTTCCACCGACCTTGTGCCTGGGGATATCATGTTGATTCCATCTAACGGGACAATTATGCCCTGTGATGCAGTACTTCTCAGTGGTACTTGCATTGTAAATGAAAGTATGCTAACAGGTAAAGTAACCTTGATACAGTTTTGTGTGACTAAACCTCTTAGCTTATACCTGTGTGCATTCTTAACTTGCACTATCTTCTGGCAGAAGTGGTTATGTTCGTTTTGCTTGGGATGTGTATGTGGAGGCTCCATCCCTGGGGACATTCAAGGTCAGGCTGGATGGGGCTCTGAGCAACCTCATCCAGTTAAAGATGTCCCTGCTCCCTGCAGGGGGGTTGGACTAGATGGCCTTTAAAGGTTCCTTCCAGCCCAATGCATTCTATGATTCTATGTTCTTGCAATTACAAATATCTATGTCCTCTGTTCTGCTTATCTGCAACAGCTGCCTGGTACTGCTTGGCAACTCCAAAAATGAGTGATGATTTCTTGTTGAAAAGCTTTCTTCTTGATAGTTTGTCATCCTGCCTTTTGACTTGGTGTGGTCAGTGCAGGCTGAGTTCTTCAGAAAATATTTTTTCCCGAACTTTTAAGCTGCTTCCAAGAATGAAGGTAGTGAGTAGAATATTCTCCTGCATTTAAAACCAGAAATTTCGGAAGTTGTGCCTCCATACTCTGAATCCAGGGACTTGATGTATTTGAAGGAAAGTTTCAGTAGACTTTTTGGTATGCCCAGAATAATCTGTCCAAACTGGCAGTGTTTACAGTTCAAAGACTGTGCGTTTTATTATGCTTAATTCTTTGAATACACTTGAGCCTTTTGCTGCTGTAGCAACTGATAAAAATGACAACCCTAGCTTGAGTATACTCAGCTACCAAAGGAGCTGAGAGTAGTTTTCTTGAGCTCCTTGCAGGAGAAGAAGGAAGCTCGTCTTGTTCCGGTGAACTATATTTTACACCTATCTGATTTGAAGTAAGAAGCACAAAAAAGCTTTACTGGTGAATAAGGAAGAGTTAAATAGGGTTTGGACATGGAATCTGGTGAGCTGAGGCTAATAGGTGAGAGGCTACCTAATAATGTGCTGAAAGGAAGGTGACTTCTTCCATAACTGCTAAATTCTTCTGCTTCTGTGCTGATGGAGTGAGATTATATTGTTCTACTTGAAGTCGTGAAGGAAAAAATGTCTGTTCTTGCTTGATCTTGTTTAGAGACTCTTTTTTTCCATTTAAGGTGAAAGTGTTCCTGTCACAAAGATTAATCTACCAAATCCTTCAGAACATCCAAAAGCAATGGGAGATGAAATATACAGTCCAGAAGCGCATAAACGACATACTTTGTTCTGTGGAACCAATGTCATTCAAACCCGGTTTTATACTGGAGAATTGGTCAAAGCTCTGGTGGTGAGAACAGGTACCAATGATTAAATTTATCACCTGTTAATGTGCTAGTTGTTTTTGTAGGTGTATGTCAGCTGATACTTTGGAGTATTGTGTTGAATATTGCAAAGCTTAGATAAATGAGCATGCCACAAATAATTTGATAAACGTCTTACAACAATAGTAGAACTAGATCATGGCCTGGAGAGTGTCAATTGGCAAGCAAGAAGTTGAATCAGTCTTTAGCATCAGTTTAAAACTTACCCGAATGCATTCTTAGATCATGTCTTTTACAGCGCGTTGGTTGGTCTGCATGTGCCTCTTGGAGAAGGTTTGGCATGCTGTCGCATCCAGTGGGGAGTGGGGATGGCTGTTGTACTGCAGTCATTGGTGATGTCAATTGGCACATAGTTTTGTCAAAGCACGTAATGTTTGCTTAAAAAAATGTGTTCAGTCTAGCCCTTCCTACAGAAGCACTTGTTCATACAGTGTGTAAAGTTTGGGTTTAGGTAATGCAAATGCTCTGTTGAAAATGATTGCACAGACTACTGCAGTTGTGGGATTCTCCTTTACAAAGATCTTAAGAAAACTACCACGAAATAGATTAATGTAAGCTAGAATCCAAGCTACAGTAAAACTGGATACAACAAATTTGACTGTGTTGCCTAGAATACTACATAAAGCAAGTTTTCCAACAAATAGCTTCATCTTAATTTGCCACATCTTTCTCTGGTGTCTTCTCTTCGCCTTCTTTTAGTCTGTTTTAGCAGTAAACATTCTGATTTTTTTTATTAAATTCATTAATGTCTTTGTAGATGCTTTCATTAGTCTATCTTTCAAAGAAAAATATTTCCCTCTCCTTGAACATATATCCTGTTTAATAGTACCCATCTCAACTTCTTTTGTTTCTTCAATAAGAAATTTTATGTGCTTGGCCTGATATGTATATACAGGCAGTGGTCCTAAACAGCAACAAAACTAAAACTACTGAAGACATGTTTCTTTTACTCTGTGAGAAGGGTAATGCTTTTTTTTTTAAAGTCTGAAACTGTGGTCTGGAGCTCTTACAAAGAGAACTGTAATTACTTACGACAGACAGAGTCTCACAGCCCTGGCATCTGAAGCAATTCTTTGACCTGTCATGGGCAAAAAGCAGATTAGAGTTAGCTCCTATGCTGCAAACAGGATAAACTGAGCTCTGTGGACCTGGTTCAGGTTTTATGGATGGAGAAGTGCACTTCTCCTGCTAGGACTATATGTAGAGAGAGAAGCAAAGGGATACGAAATCCTCTCTGTTCTCCTGTCGGGTTTACAAGGACACTTTTTAGGCAAGTAGGGAATTTCCCACTCCACAGAACTGGATCAATGTTGCAGCACTTGTAGCTTCTCACTCCAAAGATATCTGATAGTAAGAACTAAAGTAATTCTTAGCTGGTGAGGTACAGTAAAAAATCCCTTTATCTGAAGGGGGAAGATGCCACAGAATTGCAGATACTTGAAGATTTAGTCCTGAAAAGAATTCTAGGAGAGCAGAACTCAGTATGATTGCATGCAAGGACATGTCTTAGTCTTGTCAAAAACCAGGATATAAGATTGATCTGCTGGGGCTGTACTCACAGTACTCTTCAGAGTTAAGCCTTTAACATGAAATGTTTGATGTTACACCTAAAATATACATAAAATACCCATGAACTAAGTATTTCTGGGGTGTTTTTTCTTGTTTTCCTCTTGGAACTCATATCATGGATATGTTAGTGTGCATGTGTTCTCAAGACACCACATGAGGTTTTCATTTATTGTTTTATTCTGGTGTGTTCTAGCCTACAGAACCTTACGGAAAACCGTCTAAGAATGCAGAACCTTCTAAGGCTACAGAACCTTTATACAAAACCATTAAAGAAAAGCAAAAGTGGATATTTTTTAGACTGCTATGTTGAATTAGAGTTCATTCATGACTAAATACTCAAGCATATACATGCTAAACTTCTCTGAAGTTCATGGTTTATATTTTGCAGTAGCACATTCAAAGCCTGAAGGCTCATCCTCTTTAAGACTGATGCAATAGCGGCTTTGTTCTTGTGGGATCTTGTATGCCAGATATCAGCGTGGAGGGTTTAGCCTCTGCTGTGATGGCTTGCACACTGAGAAGCTGTCGGAGAGCTGTCACTAATGCCAGCAGACCTGGCATTGATATTGAGGTCATAGTAATAGACTTTGAAGTCCAAGCAGATGTTTTGGGCAAACCAAACTTGTCACTGGTCTTGGCCTCTTCACATGTTGAGGTAAAGGTTCAAGGAGGATCTCAGGGTGTCTTGGCTGTCTGACTCTACGACCCTTAAGTCTAGTCTCCTAGTCCAGGTGTCAACATGCGATCAAGAGCTGGGTTTCTCCAGAAGTTGGCTTTGTGCTGCAATTTTGTCTAAGTCTTTCTGGCTGTCAAGGGAGCTTACAGAGACTTGCCGTTTGGGTACTTAAGGTTGGGTTCTATGAATAACTTTGTTTTCTTTTTGCAAGGAGTGCCTTAAGTAGGCAGCTCATAAATACACCCACTAGCTTTGAACTGTGAGAGACAAATTGCAGTACAACAAACTCTTCCAGGCCAAACCATCTGAGGGGCTAGGGCTGCAGTAGAAGTTCATTTGCAGCAGCTGTGTGTCCTTGCCATATGAGAGAAGCTCTTAATATGTGAATATACATTTTTAAAGCACCTTAATTACAGTATTGCAAAACATCTATTACTGTATGTTGAGAAACAGTCTTAACAAAATGAGTGGCTTAAGGGTTCCACTGGGGTTTTTAATATATTTGAATAGCTTTGCTCTTATTTATATTTTCATAACTTAGTCCTTTTTATTTCTAGGCTTTAGTACTGCTAAAGGACAGCTTGTTCGTTCCATACTATACCCAAAGCCAACTGATTTCAAACTCTACAGAGATGCCTATTTGTTTCTCCTGTCTCTGGTAGTGGTGGCAGGCATCGGGTTTCTTTACACGGTTGTCAATAGCATCTTAAAAGAGGTATGTTTTCGTTTTCATTCCAGAACCACCTTCTTTTAGAACAGGGTTGATCGTGAGTTCCAATACAATTCAGATTATAAGAAACAATTTGATTTTAAGTGAAAGTAACTTTGCTTTATATTGTGTCAGTGGAATGAGAAGACAAGCTTGCTAAGAATGGAATTCAGTAAAGAGGTAGAATTTGAATATGTTACAGTGAAATTTGGGTTTGCCTCAATTTCTACTGACCCAATAACTAGACTTCTATCTTTATTATATGTAAGATTACCATCTGACTGATACCCAGTTGGAAAAAATAGAATACAAGACACTGAAAGTATGCTTCAGGCAAAAAAAATCCTTACCAAGAAATGGACAGCAGTACTTTTTTCTCTCGAAAAATTTTGCATTATTCAATGATTATTTTAAAGTAATAGATTAGCAGGGGGAAAAGTGAAGACTTGAAGTTATGGGTTGTGGACTGGATTATTATGGATGCTGATAGTAGATGAAGATTGTGTTAAGATTTCTGGGCATTGCAGAACATGCTGTACTGGGGAGAGCTGCGTGGGGGTTTTGTGTTTGGTAGCAGTGATGCAACACTCCAGTGGGACAGTGAATCTTTAAGTGCTGAGTTCATGTTCATCAACTCTGCCCCTTTGTTGCAGGTTCCAGCTCATACCATCATCATAGAGTCTCTTGACATTATCACTATCACGGTGCCTCCAGCGCTCCCTGCTGCCATGACTGCTGGCATCGTTTATGCACAAAGAAGGCTGAAAAAGATTGGCATTTTCTGCATCAGCCCCCAGAGGATAAATATTTGTGGCCAGCTCAATCTTGTGTGTTTTGATAAGGTTAGGTGAATTCTGAAACTTTATCCTCCCACCTGGAGAGGCATTGTGCTATAATCAGGAATTCATATAGACTAGCAACTGCAGGAAAATTCATTACTTCTGTATAAGTTAGATTATTTTTCTGTTGTTAGCTTCCAGGTATTCAGCGTTTACTAACAGTTATCTCAACTTTCTCTGTTCTACTATGTTGTTATAATACAGAGCTTTCTTATCTCAAGTCTCCTAAATCAACTTACCACTGGCACCCCAGAATGTGAGATTTGGGATCTGTTAAGAATTTTTATTTAGTGCACAGGCTTCTCGAAGATTGAAGTGTAGGTCAGACTTGTTTCTCATTTTCATTTATATCTTAAAGTCAAACCAGAAATATGAGTGAAGGAAAGTTATGCCACTAGCCAGAATCCTTTGCTTTTAACAAATTCTTAGATAGAATTTATTTTCCTCCTTAGATTTTTATCTAAAATCCTAAGCACCCACACTGAATTTATTATTTCCCTCATAAATACATTCCAGCTAGTGTTTTAGCTATCTAAGAAAGTAATACTATGGATTCAGTACCTATTTTGTCTCGCCCCCAACCCCTGAGTATGGATATGCTGAGCTCTCATCTTTGGCTTTTAAGAGTCTGTTTTGTTTGTCCTGTCTCCAAGGAGGGACACGATTGTTTTGAATGATTTTTTAGGTTATTTAACAGAGTTGAAACTTGGTCAATAGCAGCAAAAAGTAAGGAAGATACTGTATTTCCTGTCCTAAAGTCTTGATTTTAAGTGAAAGCAAAATAAAAAATATTGGTCAGGTGTAATTTGGTTAATTAGCTGTTCATTTTTGCTTTACCTGAGGATAACTTGTTTCTGAAGGCTTTTTCTTCTTGCCATGCCCCTTGGTTTATTTTGCAGACTGGCACACTTACTGAGGATGGCTTGGATCTTTGGGGAATTCAACGGGTAGAAAATGCTCGGTAAGAGTAAGCACAGAGCTGATAGCAAATATTGATACTTAGTTGTGCTTTAGCACCTTCAGTGGAAGAGAATAGAAAATTCAGTGTGCTCAGACAAAAATATGGTGTAGGTGTAATGGAGCTCATAACTCTCCTGTGAGACTGTGTGGAATTTACTTTGTTGAAGTATGAGACATCGTTCGGTTCAAACCACAGGAATGATGCAGTTTAAGTATGGCTTGTTTCCTTAATCCTGTCCTCCAAAGTGATCACTTTTTTGGCTGTTAAAATTAATTAGCTCAGCCAATGGAGTTAAGTACAAAGTGCTAAGAGGCCTCTGTATAAGGAATTAAACTAAATAGTGAATTAACACAGAGTTTGTGAAAGAGACAGAAGTTGTGACTGTTTCCGAAGATGTCAGCCCAGAGTCATCATCTGTTTTCTGTTATGTGTGAAAATACAAGCAAAGAGACTTGTGCAGTCAATTTTCTTCTGTTAAACTAAACAAACCTTTTGAATTGGCTCATAATAAATAATTATAGTGCTAAGTATGTTATTACTTCATTGTTGTAGTTTCCTTTTGCCGGAAGAGAGGGCTTGCAGTGAGAGCTTGCTGAAGTCTGAGTTTGTTGCTTGCATGGCAACTTGTCATTCCCTTACGAAAATTGAAGGGATGCTTTCTGGGGATCCACTTGATTTGAAGATGTTTGAAGCAATAGGATGGGTAAGTGTCTGTTTCGGGAAAAGTAACGTTTTTAAAATCAGTAATCTGGAATTTCCTACACTATTGCATACAAGATAAGGCATTATATGCTGTTTCAAGCTGTACCTCATGTAGTGGGCTTTTCACAATGCCTGTGTGTTAAAGGAAATTTTCATATGAAAATTGTCATAAAATGCATTATGTGCAACTATTCATAGAGCTGGAAGTATCTGAAGAGCTAATTTACTGCTTTCTGATGTTGTGTGGCAAGATTTTGATGCATATAATAAACTTATAAAATAGCTAAGTGAATCTTAACTGCTGAATTAAGACACTTAATTCCCACAGGGAATCTTGTTTAGAAAGATCACTGCACCTTGAGCTGACTTCCAAGAATGTTTGTTTTGGTTTTCTTTTTGAAAATTACATTAGGAGCAAATTAAAGTTAATGAATGTGTAAATAAATTGATTATTTTTAATACAGATTTTAGAAGAAGCAACTGAAGAGGAAACAGCCCTTCATAATCGAATCATGCCAACAGTGGTTCGACCTTCAAAACAGCTTTTCCCAGAATCCAAGCAAGTGACAAATCAAGAAATGGTATACAAATTCAAAGCAATCCTTTGAGTTACAGTAATCCTATGTGTTAAACGAATCCATTTTACCATACACTGTGGTTCTGGCTGATGTAATTCAAACGGGTTCAAAACTATGTGGGTTTTGGTGGCAAAGATCCAACCCAAAGCATTCTGTGATCCTAAGACACGTTTAAACTGTTGTTGAAGGTAGTGGTTCAGTACATGCCACTTTCAGGGTGAGCAGACTGATTGTCTGCATTATTACCCGTATTATCTGCAGTTTAAAATATCTTTTAATACTTCAGGAGGGGAAATTTAAGCATGGGAGTGTATATTCAGATTATCACAGAGGAGAGCAGTGGGAGGGTATAGCAGGTTGGTTACTATATGAGAGTCTTATTCTGTAGTACATAGAAGCGTCTTTTTTGCTTTTTTTTTTTTTGTTCAGAACTCAATGTACGTGCACAGCAGTAAGTGCTGTGGAGTAGTTGACATCAGCATTATTACATTATTTTTGAGGACATACTTAATATTCATGGCCTCATTCTGACATACTGTAGAACTTTAATCATTTACATAGGCTAAGCAGACCCAGACTGGACAGTGAAGGTCTTGCAAATTCTGATGAAGAAATTGAGCTCTGAAGTTCTACTGTGTCTCACTTAAAGGGTACTAATCAGATGCAGTGTATTCATATTCAGTTTTTATGAAATCCGTTGGAAATACAGTGTGACTTTATACTGGGCGTGCTGTGTAGATTTATTTACCAGTTTGTGTTGAAAATAACTTGTAGCTGAAAAATACTTAAAAATTAGTATTTACAGTAAATGTGGGTTTTTGTTGTTTTTTTTTTTAGGAATTGTTTGAGCTTTCGGTAAGTATGCTTTTTCATTAAGCATTTACCTCTTTTCTTAGAAGATGTGGATGTAACTCGTTTCTTCCTCCCTTCCTGTATGACACAGACCACTTATGAGATTGGAATTGTGCGCCAGTTTCCATTTTCTTCAGTTTTGCAACGTATGTGTGTCATAGCGAGAGTTCTGGGAGAGAAGAGAATGGATGCTTACATGAAAGGTGCCCCTGAAGTGATTGCCAGCTTGTGTAAGCAGGAAACAGGTAAAGGAATGAATGTTTTTTATTTCTTGTGTAGCTCAGCTGTAATATGACTATTTTTAACAACTCTAAACTTGACCTTTTTTAAGTTCCTGTTGACTTTGAGTGTGTCCTGGAAGAATACACTAAGCAGGGCTTCCGAGTTATTGCTCTTGCTCACAGAAAGTTGGAGTCCAAGCTTACGTGGCACAAAGTCCAAACTATTAGTAGGTAAGAGTAACTTCTTTTTTTTAATAAGTAATAGGCTTTAAAATCTGTGTGTTTTGGATTAATTATGTAATCTTTAGTTTTGTTTAAATCAATTACTACTCTTCTTTAGCTTTCTTCTGCCTTGTCTTTCTGTGCATTCTGTATTTGCACCCTGGGCAATACATAGAATTTTAAGATAAGGAAGTTTTTCTGCAATAATATGAATTCTGAGGAACATATTCAAGCTTGAAATTGACTGTAATATTAATTTTTATGGTGTTTAATTTATGTTAATGTGACATAAAGCCTTATCCAAGTTTTTTGTTACTTGAACATACACAGACATCATCTGTGCCTATTAAAGATAATGGCATGCAGTGGAAACCCTCCTGCGCGTGTTTGATTTAGTTTCTTTATCTGCTGTAAGCAGCACGTCTGTTTTCAAAGCTTGTCAGAAAGGTTTGGAAGGTAGAAAAGTTCTTACTTCAAGAAGTAGCGTTTCCTGTTAATTATTTTTCAGTTGATTCTCGTTTGTGGATGCTGTCTTTTTCCATAGCATTTGAAAGTGTAGCGTCTCTATGAAGATACCAGATTTAACTCTGTCCTTTTGTATCAGCTCTGTGTACAATAGGAACTTTATGCAAAGCAGCTCAAAGCAGAGAAATGAGTTTTCCAATTTCAGGTGTGAAAATCTACAGTAGCAGCAGAACACCCAAGACAGCTACGCTGACTTTCATGTAAACCAGAGCTAATTACTTGCTAATGTCTATTAATCTTACTAGCCTTGGTAATATGATTTGGTAGCTTGTATGTCAAGGTTCAGCTAGTTTGGAAATTAGAGATGGGCACTTTAAAGAAATCTTAAAATTTGACTGTGAATGCAGTTAGCTAAAGAGCACTTTTTCTAACAGACTTTTTGAGAATGTCATTTTTTCTTAGGAAGAGTTCTCATGGAAGGAACTAAAAATTGTGCTTGTGAGGAAACAACGTTTTCTCATACTGGTTTTCAGCTAAAACATGGGAAATAAGTATAAATGATTGTGAATGATGGTGTCTCTGAGGACATTTTTTATAAAAGCATATTCTTCACCTTTAATGGTTAAAACCAAACATTTCTCTTTACTTTGATAAACAGAAAATCAGACTCTTTAAACTACATCTAATAATTGTAATTCTTCTAATGTTCTCTTTGTTGCCTCCTTTTCTGTAGAGATGCCATTGAAAGCAACATGGATTTTATGGGGTTAATTATAATGCAAAACAAGCTAAAGCAAGAAACCCCTGCTGTACTTGAAGATTTGCATAAAGCCAACATTCGCACTGTCATGGTTACAGGTTAGCATGTAAACATTCATACTCAAGAGATAAAAATCCATCTCTCTTTGGTCTTACCTGAATTACAGTGTATGAAGTCAAATTTTAATGTCAATAGACTAGGATTACACTGAAGCAAGAGGGAAGTTTATAAACTTGTGAGAACATTCAGGCACCAGTCTGTTTCTTTTTGGATGTTAGTTGCTTTGGTAAGTCAGAAATCAGAAACCAGTACAGGGACTAGTTCTGCTTTGCAGCTTCCTCTCCCTGTTATACTGAATTAATGAATGAAAAACCTTAGCAGTCTCCCAGATCAGACTAGGTAAAAATCTTGGTCTAATCTTATGACCCTGCTTTGAGCGGGAGTTTGGACCAGGTGACCTTCTGAGGGTCCTGACCATTTTGAATTATATACTATAAGTCACGTTGCGTTGGATAATTACTTTTTTTTTTTGGTAACTATGACGTATGTGCACATAATTGGGCTGGGTGTCTGTGCTCAGTGTTTTCCATGCAATATCTGTGTTTGTTTTTTAAATCCCAAGTACTTTAACTTGAGAATAATGTTTTGATAGGCTAGCGATACAAACTATGTCTGCGTGTTCTGTGACCCTGTTTAAAAAGCGGTGGTTTAAATGGCTGTGTGTTTTCTGCCTGATTTTCAGCATAGGCTAAGAAATGAAGCATACAGCGTTGGTAGTGGTGTTAGTGCTGGGAAGGGCTTTGAGTGTTACCTGTAGGTTTGGTTTGCCATAAGGTTGTCACTGGTACTGGTTAGGCAGTCCTGGTGTAAAACTGGCTTTGTTAGCTTTCATGTGGACTATCGGTATATTCGATTAATCGTTTTCTAACTGGACCTTTCTGAATTAAAATTGTCTAACAGGGGATAACATGTTAACTGCTATCTCTGTGGCCAGAGACTGTGGAATGATTCTACCTCAGGATAAGGTCATTATTGCTGAAGCACTACCTCCAAAGGATGGGCAGGCTGCCAGGATCAACTGGCATTATGCAGATACCCTCGCAAAATGCACTAGTTCATCACCAGCCATAAACTCAGAGGTATTGTGAGCATTATTATGCCCTTAAGGTGTAAGCAGTTAGTTTTACTGTTGAGTTTCTTGCTATTCAATGGCATAAGATAAAAAGAAAATCTGCTGTTAAGCGTCGGATAAAAATTGATGTACTAGTTAACTTTCAGATCTTAAAATACCAATATGTGGTAAAACAGCAAGGGGAGCTACTTTTTCAACTCTGATATGACGTGTAACGTTTTGTTGTGCGGGAGACAGGTTTTTTGCCACATTCCATTCTTTCAAGACTGCTCTAGCTGCTTGTAAACTACATTTTCTTATTACTAAATAAGTGTTTAATTGCATGAGGTTTTGTTCAAGTAACATTCTTAGAAACCTCCTCTAGTGGGGAATCTCTGGGAATACTTCTCTAAATACAAACTTGAAATTGCAAGATGCCTGTGTAAATATATTACAGCTAGAGTATTAAACTACTTTTGATAGGATATTCCAGTTAAATTGGTCCATGAAAGCCTTGAGGATCTCCAGATGACCAAATACCATTTTGCAATGAATGGAAAGTCATTTGCAGTGATTTTGGAGCACTTTCAGGACCTGGTACCCAAGGTGAGCATTTTACTTGTGTACGGACACTTTTAATGGTGAACAGGCTTTGCCCTATGAACATTAAGAAATCTTCTGTCTTCCAGCTTGTGTTACATGGCACTGTGTTTGCTCGCATGGCGCCTGATCAGAAAACTCAGTTGGTGGAAGCTTTACAAAATGTAGAGTAAGTATTTGCTTAAGCACAGAAAGCGGCAGTGTTGACAGAGTGTTTGGTCTGATGGGAGGAAAAAAATTATGTAGGCGACTAGCTGTTTTGCCAGATGAAAAATGCTGGGCTGATATAACTTAGGTGAGTTGGTAAATTGTCCTACTAGCTGAACAGGAATGAGAGTAGTACCATCTGCTGGCTAGTTGTGAAAGTTTCAGACATTTCATGAAGTTGTAAGTGATGGGTAACTAAACTGACCAACATATTTCTTAAATCTGGTTGCTTGGCTTAATGAACAAATCCATGAAATGTCTTCTGTGTATTAAAGTAGTATTAATGGGACTTCCATTTGCATATGGTCACCATACTACTTACTGCCTGTTGTGTCAGGCCTTGCAGCTGTGCAAAATATACGACAAAAGTCTCTTTGCCTAGAGCAGAGATGCTTTAGACAACCTTGGAATGAATAGAGGGCTGACAACTGTTGTTGGTTTGATTGACCTGGCTAAGTCATGCTGCTTTTCTACTTCCTTATGTGTGTAGTGGCAACAGTAATTGCTTTTCAGCATTACTGATCACTCATTATTGTGCACAGCCTGAATAAGTCGAATGATATTGAGTATTTAATGAAAAAAAAGCTAAATGGACTATGATTAAGGAATGGTCAAGAATGCTGACGTCTGTTTGGTTTTTATAGTTACTATGTGGGCATGTGTGGAGACGGAGCAAATGACTGTGGCGTAAGTATGGTTTTGTTTTGCGTACAGAACTATTCAGTTAAACTTTACAGCTGAAAGCAAGTTTTAAAATGTTTTCTATTTCAATGTGAACTGGCAGGCGCTGAAGAGGGCACATGGTGGCATATCGTTGTCTGAACTTGAGGCTTCTGTGGCATCACCATTCACTTCCAGGACACCTAGTATTTCCTGCGTGCCAAAGCTGATCAGGTAATGCCACCTACTATGAGCTTAAATGTGTCTGTATAACTCATCTTGCGTATCTTACATTGGTGTATGTTTGGTGCTGTAGGAGGCCAGTTTGAATTAAAGAACAAGCTATAAGTTTTCTGTAGTTCTGTTTCTTTCCTGAAGGTACTCTGGACAAAGGCTTGCTGTAGCATGGTTGAGTATTTTCTTACAAACCCTTTTGTTGATGTAAAGTTAATTTTTTTAGGTCATGAGCGAGCTTCTATGTGTTCATACTTAATTTCATGTCTTAGCGACTGTGCTAGTTTCCATAAAGGCTATGTGTAATCTCAAGCAGCAAAATTCTTCACATAACTGCTCAGCACCATGCAAAGTAGAAAAATAGGTTTTCAATTTTTGATTCAATGATTGGAAGTTGGGTAATAGTTTTGAATAGAGGTCAGGCAGAGAAGAATATTTAAGCCTCTGTGGAACTGATGAAGTAATGCATAATCAGAAACATTTCTGAAGTCAGCAGTTCCGTGGCTGACTGCATATTTGTTCAATCTGTCTAGTAAACTGGTGCTTTATAGATGGTTTTGCAAGCAGACCTTACTTTTAAAACCTCTGTTGGAAAACCACATAAAGTCTGAAGTTGAACACCACAACGAGGTGGTGGCTCAGTTCAGATGGCAGACTGACAATTCCGACGTACTTGAAGGTGTACCCTTTTGACCCCTTCGTCTCCGTGTGTCTTCAGCCTGATGCCCCTCAGAGCACTTGCTGATGTGTTTAATTGCAGCAAACGTTTTGGTGAGCAGAATTGAACTGCTTGCACAGAAAGCTTTCTAGTTACGTGATTGATTGCATTTGTTTTGACAGGGAAGGCCGTGCTGCTTTAATAACTTCCTTCTGTGTGTTTAAGTTCATGGCATTATACAGCATTATCCAGTACATCAGTGTTACTCTGCTATATTCTGTAAGTATTCTGCAAGTGCTTAAGCTGTGTCAATGTAATTCAGAGATTTGAAAATTGATAGATAGTTAATACAAATGGTTGTGAGTCTCTCTGAGTACCCAACACTCATATTCTAAAAACTATTTTTAGACTAAAAGTATTGTTAGTATTCTTTGCCTTTTTTATATTAAGTGTGTGAAAAACATTTATAAAAAGCAATGACTAGTGCTGGTGAATAGAAGGTCTCTACAGTGGGAAGTCCAAATAAGCATATGAATGAATTGAACAAAAATACAGTTTTCAATTAAAAATTGTCAGCATTTCAAAATAGCCCCTTTACTTAAAGGGCAATTAATTTCTTTAATGTAAGGATTGGAAGAATGCAGCTTGCAAGTACTGAGTTAGGAGAGAGAAGAAAGCCAAGTGGAGTATTTTCTGTTAATATTATTGGATTGACCATATGGCATGCAGTAGAAATTCTGAATTTTAACTTGTATTCCGAGTAAGTTAAACATGCAAAATATTAAAGGACCTTTGAGGTGGACGTTTTGACAGCTGTGTGACCACACAGTAAGGTTGTGGTACTCAGAGAATTGTGGGCCTAAGCTATTATTTCATTGGTTTGTAAGGTTCAGTAATATAAATTTGTTTACAAACAAATTTCAATTGCAAATAGCTTACGCAGCTTGAAACTGAAATTGTTTCATACCTTAACACCTCAGGAATTGATCTGTGAATTGTAGGGTACTCACAACTCCTGCAGATAAAGGAAGCCGATTTGACAAGAGGCTGTCTTGCTTATAGAGTGAAATTTAAAGAATTAATGCCTTAGGAGTGTCACTGTAAGATGTTTATTGGTGTGAAGAAATTACCAATGTTTCAGTTGTTGTTTCTGTCTAGATCCTGAGCAATTTGGGAGATTTCCAGTTTCTCTTCATTGATTTGGCAATCATTTTGGTGGTTGTCTTCACTAGTAAGTATTGTGCTGACTTATTACTGTTGGCTTCCATGAAGCAGTTTTTGATTGCTCAGTTTTTCTTTAATATCTAATTACATGCTGTTTGGAGTAAGCACTGTGATGTACAGTTGAAATGTTACAACTGCTACAGTATATGCATAAAAAACCCGAAACCACTGTGTGCTGAAGTTTGTGAAATATCCTCACAAAATGCAGATTGTGGGCATGATCTTAGAAGAGTACACAGTACAGGAAGCCATAAATTTCTAATGACGTGAGGAGAATGTTCTTGGAATCAAACCAGGAGTTGTTCCAATATCATCTTTCTCGAGTGTTTCATTTCTTACTTTTTCAGTTGAGCTTTTGTCCACAAACTGTTATACTCTAAACTGTTTTCTAGTGAAGTATTATTTGATTCTGCAGCTGAACCTAGCACTCAGTTTACTGGCTAACAGTAGAATTCTGATTTCAAGTTTAATAGGAAGTGGTTCTTTGAAGTGATGGCAGGCCAAAACTGGGGAGACGAGCTCTAAGTCCTTGTGTCAGACAAAGGGAATTTGGCCAAACGCTGCCAACTCCTTCAGTCTCATGGCTTCTGTTATCGTCCCTGCTGTCCTGTGCCGCTGGGGGTAACCAGCCTGCGGAAGGCACTGCAGCGTTATTCTAGATCTGTATAATCTTTTCAATATTGTTCCACTCTTGCAGTTCTGGACTAATTTTGAAAGTGATGTCATGAGCAAGCCATTCTAACTCCACAGATTGTGAATAGGAAAACTCTTGAAAACCATAATGATGTAACATGTTCGTTGTTTTTCTTTCTCTTTGCAGTGAGTCTGAACCCTGCTTGGAAGGAGCTTGTTGCGCGAAGGCCTCCCTCAGGTCTTATCTCAGGTCCACTTCTGTGTTCTGTTTTGTCTCAGATCATCATCTGCTTTGCTTTCCAAACCTTCGGGTTTTTTTGGGTCAAACAACAGCACTGGTATGAGCCTTGGACAACAGATTCTGAGTAAGTGTTGCAGTGGCTCCACGCAGGAAACAGTAATGATTGAAAAGCTATAGGCAATAATTGCCCTCCTCTTTATGAACCCCCTTTGGGGACTTTGTAAATAAAGCTTCTGAGAGGCAGCTTGTTAGTCTGCTGAGTTTTTTGTGAAAAGCACACTAATACATAGGAGTTACCCAATGACTGAAAATCAAAACTGGGTCAGAACCAGATTGTGGGGTCTGAAGACTCCTCAGCTTTGGGACAGGTGAGATTGAAATTTGAAATTAGCAGTTCAGACCTATTTAGGTCTTCTATATTATAAAGTTTTCTTCTTCTGTTAAGAGTTCCTGTAAGCCAGATTCATATTTCTGAAAATGAAGAGTTGTTTTAATCTTTTTTTAAGGTGGCAGTGTTTTCTTACCTGTATTCAAAGTTTATCTACAGTGACAGTTTCTAATGAGTTTGTGTAGTGAAGTCACAAGCTGGATGCATAAAGGAGTTCAAAGCTTAGAATTCACAAAAATTTCTGCCTCCCTGCTGCAGTTTTAAGTTATTTCTTACTACTTGCAATAGGTTTTCAAGGCTAAGCTATTTTTTAATAGTGTAGCGATTTGTTCTGTTTTTACTTTTGTTAATAATTAGACCTCGTTTGCATCTGCTCTGTAACTCAAGTGTTAAATGGGTTTTTTTATGTTTTAGTGCATGTAATAAATTGGATGCCACAAACACCAGCTCTACGCATCATGAGAATGAGACTCTTCTTGATGAACATTACATTAAAAATTATGAAAACACAACTTTGTTTTTTATATCCAGCTTTCAGTACCTCATAGTGGCAATTGTCTTTTCTAAAGGAAAGCCCTTTAGACAACCATGCTACAAAAATTGTAAGTCCTTTCTTACTATATACAGTTCCAAGCAGAACTTCAAGTGGCTGCACTTGCTTACCCATGGCTCATTCACACTTCTGCCACTTTGGCAGGAACAGTGTTTCTAGGAGAACATAGTACAGTTATCCTCTGATAATCAGAGATAAAAATAAGGAAGTATTAAACCATATGGAGAAATTGGTGTTAATAGTTGCTTTGTTTGTAGAAGTATATACGTATATATGTTTCAGCTCCGCAAGTGAGAAACTGAGTCAGGCCTTCTGTCTCTTTATAGCTATCGGCACAACTTGTATTGCCAAAATCCTCCTGGAAGGGATTTAGAGGGAGGAAAGAGGTTATTTCCAGTGCATAGAAAAACTGTCTTAAACTCTGATTGTAAGATGGTCTGAATAATTTTTTTTTCTTCTTTTGCAGTTCTGTTTGTTGTATCTGTGATAGTTCTTTATATCTTCATATTGTTCATCATGTTGCATCCCATTGAATCTATTGATGCGTTTCTGGAGGTAAGATTCAGCAGATATGCAGGTGTCGGTACTTTCTAGAATAACTGATTCGCTGCCTTTTGGCAAGCTTGGCCCCTCTAGAGCTTTAACATTTCATCTTGGGGAGGGTGGGAATGGAGAATTTACAATTCTGAGCCTGTTTTGAATGTATGTTTATTTGATATGTGTGTTGCTAACCTCTGGCAACTTTCCTCACAGCTCGTGTGTGTGCCGCCTGAGTGGCGCCTGAGAATTCTCATCATTGTTATTCTCAATGCAATTGTATCCGTACTGACGGAGGTAAGAAATTCAAATGGAAAAACTGTATGTCTCAGTGTTTGTTTTTTTTCAGGGTACGTGTTTGTCTTTTGTTTAGAAGGTCTCTCTTCACAGTGTGCCAGTGTAAGTGGCCACTGTTTTCTTGTTAAGTTTGTATTCCTAAAAATGTCCTTGCAGGTTACCTCCAAGGCATCAAGGTTTTCTGTGTTAAGAGCATAATTTTGAAAACCATTTTTTTATGAATTAAAAAAAGAGGGAGGCAAGTTGAAAGATTTAAAAATAGTTTCGACTGTTTCGTAGGACAATATTCTCCATATTTATTTGCTGTGTTGAGTTCAGAGGGACATAATGTAGTAAAGGCCTATATAAAATCCTTAGGGGAGCCCATCTTCGTTCAGTTGGATCATACACATAGTTTATGGTTCAGAATTAAGCAGGTCCATATAATCTGTTCATCTAATCTGATCCAAGCCAAGTAGAGTTGTTTGTGCAGATCTGCTTTCTCCAGACCTGAGATTGTCCAAAATCAGTCACTCTGGATATTGACCTCTTCTGCTGTGATTCCAGAGTTAAGGAGGGCAGAAACATGCCCTTTCATCCAAGTACCCCTGTATCATTTCCAAGAATCAAAGTCTGACAGATGGAATCTGGATTCACAGTCAGTCATTTATTCCTATGGTTAGTTCTTTGCCCTCTTAAATTGGTGACTTATTTCCAACCTGAATACATCTGAGTTTTGGTTGCAGCCTTTTGTCACTTCTTTGTTTCTGTCAGGTGAAAGAGCCTTTCAGTGTTATCTAGTGCTTACACGCTGCCATTATCTGCTCTTACTGTGTAGCATTTTCTGCAGCTTCTAGTCAGTATTTCCATTACTGTGTGAGGGTAACCACTGTATGAGGGTAACCACCATAATGTTGGCTTGGATCATACCACTTTGGTCACTGAAGATTGCTACAGCATTAATATTTTTTCAAGTTGACTAGTTTTTTCCCTTTCATTCATGGCTTAGTAAAAATAAAATCAACCAATGTATTTTAAGATACTTAATCAAAATTTTCAAGGCTTTGAGCTTGAAATGTTGTTTCAAATAGAATTTGGAATACATGCTGTTATGTTGCCGTCTATTGGAACATATTTTGTAGTGTTTTCACATGATAGATGATAACTTGTCTTTTCCAAAACATGGCAGTAGATAATTTTTATTTTTGACCTTTGCCTTCTTGTTAACAAGTTTATCCTCCTAAAAATTCTGTGCCTTTCTTACATTGTCCTATATTTACTCTGACCTTGCCTGTGATGTTTTCCTTTATACTTTTTAACTCTTTCATTTTTTGTACTAGTAAATTCTTGTTTGCTTTTTTGCCTCCTTTTTTATTTGTTAAAAGTTAGGGTTTATGTATATTGCTGTCTTTGCTACTGAAACAAAATAGTTATTCTGAAGCTGCGGAATCATGATTTTGTCTTTTCATGAATTTAAAACAAACCTCCTAGATATAAATATTTTTCCTGTTTGCTTTTTGTAGTCTGTTTTGATGGTTTTGATTGCCATCTCTCGGAAATTAGCTTTTTTGAAGCACTAAGGTTATTCTTTGGAATTGAACTTTATGTTGATGCATGGAGTGTAAATAGGTGGTGGTTACAGTTTTCAGTCCAGTAATAAATGTTACTGTGAAGTAACCTTTAGCTGAAAAAATTACTTGGTTCTGCAGGGGATCTTTCTAATGTTTATACACTCTGTTCTGGAAGTGTTAGGGCTCCCACAGAAAGTCTGCCCAGCGTGTTGATCCGTCTGTTGGCATGTGCCTCTCGCAGGGCTCCACTCCTGGGCCTTCTTGGTTGCCACATCAATTTGTAAACTTCTGAATTTCTGTTAGGCATAACTGAAGCAATATAATTACTGCAGAGTGTTTGCTTTCACCCAGTGTTTCAAACCCCACCCCCCGCTTTTAATGATGCAGGTTTGAGTTAGCATCTTTCAACACTGGTCACTTACCTGTCATGACCAAAACTGGTCGTGGGAAGATTTGTCACATTCCCTTTAAAGAGACTTTCCTATTTATCGTGTTGCCCATACTTTCATAGTGGAATAGAAGTACCTATAGAATTTATTATTTCTTGACATTAATTACTTGGGGCATTCTGCTTTGACTTTAAACCTATTTGTTCACTTTCTCTGAATGCTTTGCTTAAACAGAGAAGTAAGTTGTCTGACTGTACGGCAGATGCCCAATAGAAGCATCCTCAAATCTCAAACTTCTCTTTACGATACACACCTCAATTTTAATAACTGCAGTCTGCTTTTGTCCTGCCTTTTGAGCTGTGTTTGTACTCCAGCAGTATTGCTCTAGGCTCCTGAAGCTTCTTCATGTGGTTCCAAGTCACTGGATCCAATCGCAGGCTGTTTCGTTCCTTCACGTGCCCACAGGAGCTCGTTGCCCGTCCTTGTGTGCCTGGCTGGATTTTCTGCTCATTGCACTCACTAAAGTTACTCACTGTCACGGGTCATATTCTGCATATATAGGAAAAGCTGCTGGTAGCATCCCCTTCTTTCTTTTAACAAGGTACTCTGTATGTGTATCACCTAGGGTTTGTTCTGCAGAGGCTAATCCCAGAGCAGCCGCCTCTTTAGGTGTCTCGTAACCACGAGAAACATGAGGGATTGGATCTGTCTTTGTTGTCGCATTTGGCAGTTTGACACTGCCATGTCACCACGGTCATATGTATTTTCTTCATTGCTTCTACAAGAGGAATGGTTTCTGACTGTGGCTGTCCCAGACATGTTTTCTGAGATGCCGTGTAAAGCTTTTGTCCCTGCCATGTGCGTGCCAGAGTGGGTTCACAAAGCATGTGTGCTCTTTCTACCAGATGAGAGAAAATATCGCATGACGACGGCAGTTCCTAGCAGATGTTCCTTCTCTCGTGCCTGGTGTAAACATACTTAAACCAAACAGGCTTCAGAAATGAATGTCTAAAAGCTGAAGACTTGCTGGCAAATGCTTTGCGAAAGGACTATAAAATTCTGATTATTGTGAAATCATAAGCGTTATAAAATCTGTTACAAAAGCTTGGCTACTCAGCTCCGCTTTCTCAATGGCAGAGGTTAGTCAGGTGTTAGAAATGGAACCTGTCCAAAGGTCACTTGTAGGCTGGAGGCCGTGAGAGATGCAGGTTCACACCTGTGTTACCTGGTTTGTTCAAGGCCCTCGAGTCAGCCCACACAGAAGAACCGGACGTACTCAACATACTGCTTGACTTCGGTCCTCTTTTCCAAAATCTGGAATGGCCCCGACAGAATTCCTTCAGGTTTCCTGCTGGTGACTCAGCTTTCCACCCTGCTGAAGCTTTTCTGGGAATGTCACAAGTTTAAAACAAACTACGAACAAAGCGTATCTTCAGCATGAAGTGTGCGATAATGTTAAAGATAGTTTGAGGGTAAACGGCTTTAAGCACTCGTGTCTGTGGTGCTTCACAGGATTTTTAGAATATTGAAGCACATTAAGAATGTGTATTTATAATTTTTTACCTGTTTTGCAGTTTTGATCATTATTGCTATGATTTAAAGTACGTGTTCATATCCTTAAATCTCATGTGAGCACTTTTAAGAATGAAAATGTTTATCACTTAAGTACTGACAAGTAACGTAAACTCTCCGTTTTGCCTTGCACTGAATTAGTTTTGCCTAACACACTATGTCAGGTTTTATTTGTAATGTGCACACTAACAACAAATGATCATTAGTTTCTTTAATTCTTCCCGCTCACTGCAATGTCTCACAGAATGTCCTCCTTGATATGATCCTTTGGAAGGTTGTGTTCAATCGAGACAAACAAGGAGAATATCGCCTCACCATACCCCAGCCGCCTCAGGTTGGAGACTAGTATTTTGCTGTCATCATTTTGAGTGCATGCACATTAATTTGGTTTTTGTCTTTTTGTGATGGATAAGTGTCTTTTGCCTTAAAACTGCTGAAATTTAAATTTCTCTAACTAGAATATTAAAAGTAAAGGCTTCTGGTTTTTATGTTTTTCTCCTCATTGACATGTAAAGAATTTAGCTCTGCATACCAGAACTGCGGATCAAACCCAGAGGATTGCATTTAAGACTTTTTCTCACTTTATCTTCAGTTTGTGTTGTCACAAGTTAGCATGTTAGGACTGGGAATATCTTGATTGCTTGGAATCAGAATTGTTTATGCTGTGTCTAATCCAGTTCTTTATTGAATTAATTTGGTTTGGAGTGTTAGATCATTCAGACCAGTGGTTTATAGCATGTACAAATGAAATGAAATAAAAAGGCAAATGAAAGTATATTATTACTACTTTAGATGGTTTAGGAGACTGAAGGATTTAGCTTCTACTTTTCAGGTGACCGTGAATCTTGGTCTGATCTGCCCCTCTGTCATTATTATGTGAAGAAAATCTGTGTGAATCCCATAAAACTTAGCTTTTTCTTTAAGCCTCTTGGCTTATTACTTTTAGCTGGGTTTTGTGTTATTAAATGTGTTCACTTCAGGTTTAGGTTTGTCCTTTTGAGTCTGTTGAAGAATGAATTGCTTTGTGTTCACTGAAGAATGGAAGTTGTGTGTAAGACTCATGTTTTGTTCAATTCATGAGCTGATAGAAGTTGAAGAAATTTATATTATGAAAGAAAAAACATAGAATATATCTCCGTGAAAAAACAGTAGGATGAAGAAAGCCATAGGATATATTTCCATTAATAAGTCAGCCCTGCAGACCATAGGGGCTCTCTGAGACATGAGAGGGATCAAGTTTTGAGAATGAGGAATGGTGCTTCTCCTCTCCAGCAAAGTTCAGTGATAAGCATTTAGGTCTGGGAGAGGAAATATAGGAAGGAAGACTTAAGTTCAATAATTCGTGTCTGTTTTAATAACTATTAGTACCCACAGAACTTAGGTTTCACATAGTCAGCAAGTTGAGTTCTGCCACTTTTGACTGCTTTTTCTAGACGGGGCTTTTATTCTTCAATAGTAACGTCATTTAATGATGCCTGTTGTATCTGTGTTTAATGAAACTGTTATAAAATGTGCATAAAAGTTGGTGGTGACCTTAGATGTTATGTTAATGCAGAATACTTGATTTTTCTTAATGTTCTTTAAATGTCATTGCTACCCTAGTATAAAAGAGATGACACAACAGAAGAGTTTCTGTTCTGCGCTTTCTAGGTCCAGTGTGACAATAAAATAGTAAATTCGAAACTAAAATAATAGTTTATCTTCTAGTGATTTACTGTATTGCTAGTCACATTAACTTTGCCTTACGGTAATCCAGTTTTCAAATCTCTTGATTTCTGCAGGAGGCTGTGGATCGCTGTGGAGTCTGTTTCCTTTCTTCCCTGTTTGGTTGTAGAGAGAAGACACCAAAAGCCAAGTATATGCATCTAGCTCAGGAACTGCTGGTTGATCCAGAGTGGCCACCAAAACCCAGAACAACAACAGAAGCAAAAGTACCATCCCAAGAAAATGGTTCATATCAAATCATCACTGTAACGTAGCAGTGGATCTCGGTGGCATGTGTCTTCAGTAGTATTCAGAATGTAATTTTAAGGCTGTATTTGAAATTGCAGTATGCTAAATGTCAAATTCTAATGCAGATATTTCCAACTGTTTTGTCTCTCTGAATACAAAGTTCAGAGCCAGACATCTTAAGGCTATACATTTTAAAAATGTAGGTTACCTTAGGCAGAACAAAAATGATTGCGTTTTCTTCTACCTTCTTTCAAATTTCATTAATCCTAAATAAGACCTGTTTGAAGGTTTAAACTGCAGGGCAGTTAAAATAGGTTCACTTTATTTGCCTGGAGTATCTTTATCAGTGTTCTAACCTGCTTATCTGGGCATGCGTTCACGTAAACCCTCTGATGTCGTGGTTTCATGGTAGTACTAGAGGCACATAAGAACCTTGTCATGTGCTTTTTTTTCTTTTTCTTTTTTCTTTTGATATTCACTGTTGAACAGCTTTGTGCCTCAGAATGGCTCTAATGTTTTGGTGTGCGTACCTCTAAGTTTGTCACTACTAGTAAGGAGTGTTTCCAGGTGTAACGTTTGGGCTTTAAGTTTAATTCTTTAGTCTGCCGCAGCAGGAACTGGGAATGCTGTAGAAGCAACATGCTCTGTCCTTCAGAAGAGAGCACTTTGCTTTCAAGTGGGTTCTTAGCTTCTTTTCTAGCTAACCCCAAACCAGGACAGAAGGGCTTAGGTGGCCTTCAGAGGAGGAGGCATTGGGCCACACTCTGAAGTCTTGGGAGAAGGAAGGCTGGAGAATCTTTCATGCTTTCTACTGTCTCATGTTTTATTACATTTAGCTGTGCATTTATTTCTCCACAGACCTTGCTTTTTCTAGCAGAAGGGTTGGATTCTCCCTTTGTGGACCATGTTTTGTTTGTAAATCTTAAGATAATTTTCCTATATACCTTGAAGTAGTAAGGCCAGAGTTGCTGCTGCAAGGGAAATAGGGGTGGGAGGGAGGTACGTTTTCACATGCACACGCTTGGGATTTGTGCATGTTAAGAACATAGGCATTTCAAAGAGTCTGCCAGTGTCTTAAGCACTATATGTAGCTGTATGAAACAAAATTAAGAAAAAATAGATGAGCTAAAATCTGTCTTGCTGCAGAAACTGTAAGGCTTATGTGGATTTTATTTTTAAAAAATAAAAAAAAAGAAGAAAAAAGTCTATCACCAAGAATGCTGCTTAGGCACTTGGGGTAGAGATGCATCATTTTGCCATTAGGTGGTGTCAGAACACAAGACCACTAGAAAAATAGGTCTGCAAAGATGTAGATGCAGGCACCGTCTTCACTGCAAGGCTTCAAACATTATTTTTTAACCCACAAATTATTTATCTCCAAACCATCTTCAGCTTGCTAAACTTTCAGAAAAATTGTCTTTGGTGTCTTTGGGAATATGATAGACTGATCACAGGCTGACATTCTGTTTGGACCAGAGGGAGCTGAGCGGTTTAGACACCTCCAAGCTTTGGGAGGGGATCTGGGATCAGCACAAGCCGCGATTCTGTAGAGATCCTTTAGAGCAGGAGGTCGGCTCTCTGGCAGGAGAGTCCCAAGCTCCCTGGCTGGCTGGGGTCATTGGGAAATGTGTATTCTGATGATGGAATTAGAGGTTTTGTTTGGTTTTATGGTTTGGGTTTGTTTGTTGTTGTTGTTTCCTTGCTTGTTTTTTAAATTCCTGTGGAGACAGTTCCATTCCAGCATTGTTTTTATAAGGGGAATTTTCCACGTCGGGCTTCATTCCCCTGTGCTGTTCTGTAGGGCGGCATGTCCAGTGCCCCCCGCTGCTCACCTTAGGGTTTCTGCAGTGTTGAACATACTGTGCCAATGGGGAAGTTAAAAGTGGTGCTAAATGGTTTTGGAAGACTTTTTCCTAGAACTTGGGGCTTTAAGTTACTAGCACTTGCTCCTCATCAATAGTATGCACATGGTGTGCTATCCTCCAGTCCAGCTGTCAGCTCTTTTCCTGATTTCTTTGTTGTTGTTTGGTTTTGAGGGGTGGAGCAGGAAGAAGGGGGAAGTGGTTTCCTTAGCATTCATTCAGCAAAGCGATGTAAAAGTCTTGTTGTTCCAGCTCCTTAAGGTCATAAACATCAAACATCAGTAGCTTTTAAGGGGTCGGCAGTTGTGGTCTTGGATAAATATATTAATCATGAACTTGAGTCACTTGGCTAATTTCTGTCAATGTTGTTTTTACAAAATCTTTGTAGCATGGAATAATTGATGAAGAATAATTCTCAGCTGCGTAAGTAGTACTCAAATTTAAAGAAAAATAATATTTTAGCTGAAAAATGTTGTGAAGCTATGCATCTTGGACCTGGGAGCTGTGACTTATCCTGAAACGCATAAACTTTTTCTTTCTATTTTGTTGACGATTTTAGCTTGTTGGAACAACATTGTAGGTGTTCCATCAAAAGTGAAAGAAAATAGTTGTGTCTTTCCCTTTTATATGCATTTGCTTAATGCTTCCTCTAAACTGATAATTTCTCTCGGTTTGTTTGGTTTCTAAAGCTAGTCTTTCAATCTTATTCTAGGTTATTAGACGTCTAGAAATTGAGGAGGAAACAAGGTGGGCTTGTCTTTGGAGGACATTTTAGGGAGCTCATACTAAAACTGAAATTGCCAAGTGTCTAATGGGTCATGAGCCTATTAAACTTGAATATTTTGCAAATGGGAGCTCATTTCCTCAAGGTATGCGTTCAGAGTCCGTAAATGTTCTTGAGGTTGCATGCTTGAGCTCTGACCTGTTCTGCTTCTGACGCTTAGTCAAGAGTAATAAATCAGCTTTTCTGAGAATCCTTCTTGGTGTTGCAAGTTCAGCCACAAAATAAGCTTTTGCATCTTCTGCAATTATTGGAATTTATGCCTTCCTGCCCAAGAGCTGAGTTTGGCCACCTATCGTTTTTCCCATTTTGAGGTGTTTAGTTTTTCTGGTTTTCAGAAATGCAGCAAACTAGATCTGCACTAGTGTATTCAGTTTTTGCTTTGAAGTAAGATGAAATTCAGTTTGTAGTGAAAAGGATCTCTTGTAATGTTCATCTTGAAAGTCTAAATTCAGGTGACCAGACCAATTTAGTGAGCTCCACTAGATACTCGGTAGACATTTTCTTCCTGCTGTATATTTTGGCCCTAAGTTGAGGAGTTTGATTTATTATTAAATTATTTGTGTCTGCAGACTTTAATCTGTATGTATTTTACTTTGATGTATTAGGATTTGTAAATATTACTGATTTTTAAATATTATTTATGCACATACTTAAGGACTGGTCTATCCAGAAAAGCAATTGCTAAATAATAAATGTTACTTTTTAGAAATAAATTGCAAGATCATTAAATTGTATATCCCTCAGGGTTAATTTTTAAAGGTTTTTTTTCTTTTCCCTTCAGAGTCAATTAGCGGTATCTCTAGTTTCATGTACTATAGAACTAAATCTACTGTAAAAAGAAAATGCTGCAAATAATGCTTGAGTAGAAGCGGCTAAAACACCCACAGGACTGACTGACCATATTCATCTTAACTTTAAATTGGAAACTCTTACTGTTGCACTTTTTAAAAGTTGTTGGATTTTTAATTGTATTTATTTTTTTCTTTCATCATGAAGGTTGTGCTGAACAGTCATCCCAAACTGGGTAAATAATCCTGTACTGTATATGTATTATACAGTATAAGACTAAGCAGATGTGGAGTCCTCTTTATGCTGCAAATTTTTAATGCTTACGTTGGTCATCACAAAATGAGAGCGCTAAAGTTCTGTAGGATTTCTCCCATGAAATTCTGAATTGTAAACTTAGGTTTTTGTATGTGTAAGGGAAAGCTGTGGGGTTTTGACAATTTTTAGCGTCTTGAATATGTTGATTTTATACAGTAAAGCTTCAGGTTTTTAAAGCTATTTTCAACAAGCTGCAGCTTACTTGGTAATTATGTGAACCAGAAACTACTCAGTTTGCCATGAATTCCTCAAGCCTAACACAGATTAAAAGGTTCATCGTTACGGCGCTCTCTAGAAGCTCAGCTTCCTTTTTATTTTTAGATCTGAAATGATACTACATCTTTGTATTTAAAATATGTATTGCTGCTCTAGAATGGTACGCTGTTGTCAAGAGGCATACATAAATAACTGTACAATAGAATTGTAAATAGACTTGTAAATCATTTTTGTGACTGAAGCTCTTTGAAAATAAAATTAAAATGAACAGATATTTTAACTCTTTTCCTTAGTTTCATGAAATCGTTTTTAATTATTCTTCATACAGTTAGACCTGAAGCTTGTTGAAGAACACAGACTTACTCCCACAGATGTCATGGGTGTCTTGTTCAGTGCCCCTGTGCTTTTGAAGGTGGAGGTGGAGAGGGACACGTGCGGGGTGCTCGCAGTGCCCTCCTGCCATGGGATGGCGCTGGCTGCGTTTTTACCTGGTGTGGCTGGTGAGAGCCATTTTAAAGCCAGATCTTGTATTTGTGATAGCAGCTTGCTTCCACCTTCTGTCATCCAGATGTTCCTTCTGTTCTTTGGTGCATGGGAGGGATTATCTTGGAAAGACTCTTGAGTAAATGTTCCTGGCTGGGAGCTGTCACTGTTGTCACAGAAATGAAGGCATCTTCTTCCATCCTGCGGCTCACCTTCTATTTAAATATTCATTGGCAAAGCACATTATCTCGAAGAAAAGATACCAGAAATACCTGGTTACTTAATTGCAAAACTTTAATCTTTCAATTTCAAGCTAATATTTTGATAACTTAAAGCCTTTCTTTCTTCAGAATCTTTCAGACTTTAGGTTTCATTGGCCTGTGGCTCCAGAAGACTTAGAGGAAAACCAGAACCCAAATGGGTCAACCCTGGACCACTTAGCCAGAACATTAAGTTACAAAGTTTTAATTCCTTACATTGCTTTGACTCCAGTCCAGCAAGAAAGTGAAAGTCAGAGCAGCCTTGGGAAGGTATTTATCAGTCACTCAATTATTTAAAGTAGATGTGTCCACTCCTTCAAAATCTAACTCATCGGTGTAGCGGACTTTGGTGAAACTGTCTAACAAATTAGAAAGTTCTGATTGTAATTCACGCTGAAATGTAGATTTCTGACTTTACCCAGATTTGCATTGGATTGGTTGAAGCACATGCTCCAGTATCTCTGTCAAAGAAGCTAAAAGCAGGTTTTCTGCTGTTGCATTTGTGACTTCAAACTTCTTTCCATTCTGTGAGCGATCTCAAGTTCTACTGTTGGAGTTGGGTACAACCTGTGGAAGCTGGTTGCTTACACAACTAAATTTAGCCAAATCTGCTCTGAAGCCCAAAGTATGCTTTGACCTTTCACAGTACTTTGCAAATGTGGGTGAAAGTGTTATCTAGAGGATATGTTTTGCTGTTTTACTTCCCATTTAAAGTGCAGAGTCATGATGAAGCCTGCTTGCCTGCCTGTGTTCCTAGCAAGTTTCTCTGAAAAGCAGTTAAGTTTCTAAGGTACAGTTCAAATTTCCTTTTTTTTTCCATCATCATCATAGAATGGCCTAACCTTGTTCATATGATTTTAGAAACTTGCAAGAAAGCAAAAAAAAAAGCACCATACTAAATTATATGTGTGCTCAGTATTCTATGAAACTAATTTTAAAATTTGTGACTTTTAATATAGTAATTGTATTAATGTATTGTTTCTGGCATCCTTTTGTAGTCTTGAGAAACATTAAGAGGGTGGTAGAAGGGGGCACTGTAGACCGGAAGGTGGTAAATGACCAACCAGGCTGATGTCCTGATGTTTCTGGAATGTCTCGCATGAGGGTTTGTGCCAGTTTTAATACGCAGAAATGTATAATTGTGACCCTTATGTGGATCTTAGTGTATTCTCTACTATGAAAATCTGATATTGTAGAACTTTAAATATTTCTTTTAAAAATACCATTAGAAGCTCTAGACATTCGATATCCATAGGATTATCCAGTTTCTGTGTTAATCATAGAGTCACTTAGTCTGGAAGAGACCTTCAGGATTATCAAGTCAAACCATTAACCTAACACTGCCAAGTCCACCACTGAACCGTGTCTCCAAGTGCCACATCTCCATGTCTTTTAAATACCTGCAGGGCTGATGACTCAACCACTTCCCTGGGCAGCCTGTTCCAACACTTAACAACCCTTTTGGTGAAGGAATTTTACCTAATGTCTGATCTAAACCTCCTCTGATGCAACTTGAGGCCATTTCTTCTTGTCATGTCACTTGTTGCTTGGGAGGAGAGACCAGCACCCACCTCGCTACAGCCTCCTTTCAGGTGGTTGTAGAGGGCAGTAAGGTCTCCCCTCAGCCTTCTCTTCCCCAGGCTGAACAATCCCAGTTCCCTCAGCTGCTCCTCATGAGACTTGTTCTCCAGACCCTTCACCAGCCTTGTTGTCCTTCTCTGGACCCACTCTCACACCTCGATGTCTTGTAGCTAGGGGACCCAAAACTGAACACAGGATTTGAAGTGTGTCTCACGTGTGTTGAGCCATACACTTGTGGCCTTAACCTCTTGCAAGTAATTGTACCATTTCATGGCTTGTTTGTAAAAAAAAAAAATGTGTGTCTTCTAGCACTTCTGTCTAACTTTGTTTTGTTGAGTACGCTCTTACCTTTTGTTATGAGACCAGTAAAACAGACACCCCCAACCTATGGTCTGGTGTTGCCCGTTTTTTTTGTTTTGCAGACTCTGGCCTGCAGCTGTGCCTTCCGAGGGACCTGCGTTTGCAGTCTGTAGCACAACAGTTCACTTGCGGGTTGTTTGGTTTTTTTCCCTATTTGATTCTCTAAATTCTCATTTCTGTCACATCACTGAATCCTGCAGTTCTGCTGAGGTTTTGGGTTGAGATGGTGCAGGTTGAGATGTCAGTCAGGGCTTGAAACAGAAATTTCCTGGTGCGTTTCTGCCCTGCATGAAGGGTTGTGCTCCTGCACCATCCCAAAGCAGCTCAGGGGCTGCCTGGGCGGTGGCTGAGGAACTCTGCCTGGGTGCACAGGGACGTGCTCATCATCACCATGCTGGAGTGGGCACAGGTAGGAACAGGGCCAGGTGCTTTTTTTATGGTTTACCAAGAAGGCGTCACTATTTTATGAGAGGTGGTTGGTTTTGGGGTGAACAAGGATTACTAAGAGGGCAAGATCCTCTGAAAGATTCTTGTTTGACGTGTAAAAGTCCTTCAGAAGGGTGAAATTTCACAGCCTTTTTTTTTTTTTTTAATGACTTACAATCTCTGTCAGAGAGTTCTAGAAAACCCGGTGAGAGCTTTCTCTGCAGCAACATGTTGCTGGTAGATGGTACCACTAAGATGCTGTGTCCTTCCCGAGGAAGGGATGCAGATTTTACTAGTCTTTGGTACTCTGAACCTAACTGAGCGGGTTTTTTTTAAAGTACTCCCTTTTGTCTTTTTTTTTTGCTGCAGCAGCTGGTTTTGATCCGTGGTGGTATGTTCTTGCCAGCCATTCCGGCACGTGAGAAGTTCCTACTACTATCCCATCTGACTTCTTTTTAAGTGATGGGGTTTGTACCCATGTTTGTAGGGTTGGTATGGGAGAGCTTCATCCTTGCCCCTGGAAAGAAAGAATCTGTTGGGATGGAGCCCTCCTCTTGCCCACTGTTCTCAGACTGACGTGGTGTTGGGTGTTCCACTTATGTCCAGTTAGGCAGAATGTGTCCACCTATTCCAGCAGTCGCAGCTGCTGCTTCTCCGACTGACCTGCCAGGTGCTTGACTTCCTGGTTTCTGATACACTTGGATTTGTTCATTTCCCTAAGGAAGTATTTCTAAACTGTGGATTTCTGTTTGACTGGCTCTTTTAAATATTATTGTTATAGCTACAATGATTACTTTCCTGTTCCTTTTTTTTGTTTGGGAATCTATACAACTTTCCAACTTTGTGGTATGTTTCATGTGGATATACCTTTATTGCTACAGCTTTCTAGCTAACTTCATGGCCCTTCTTTCCTTATTGCCTGCCACTGGTAACTCGGTATCGTGTTGAGCTGTTGAAATGAGACTGGTTGGTTATCAGGGGCTCACTACGGTCCTGTGCTACATAAGCTCTTGTGTGTTATTTCAGGATACGGCAAAAATAGCCTGTTGCTTCTTGTATGTTCTTGGGCTGTTCTAAGAAGCGATCGCTTGGAAATGCTGAGATAATTTAACAGAACTCTGTGGTGTTTTGCTTTTAGCCACTTAACTTAGGTTAAGAGTGTCCTATATTTTATTTGTTTTTGCAGGCTAAACTTTATTTTTTAAACCTTAGGGTAACCTACAATAAAAAATGTTGTGAGTACAGGACCTTCTGATAATTTTTTCAAGACTTTTTATGTGTAACTTAGTATACTGCTTTTCTCTTCAAGTAAACACATGCCTTATGACTACTTAGAGTTTTACCATGATTCTCCTGTGCTTTTATTGCACTTGACTACTACAAATATAAACAAGGAACACTTTATCTGTACTTCTCACTGTAAACTGAGCACCTTAGAAATATTTGCAGTCAACGGTAATAGAGATTCTGAAGTTTGTTTTCAAGCCAAGAAAAATTTCATGCAGATTTTACGATATGTTCACACAACTTTGTCGGCTGCTAAGTTGTTAACTATCCATGATCAAATCCTGACTCTCTCTTATCTCTTGTAACAGCTAATGTTTCTGGCACTTCAACGAGGATGTGGGTGTTTCGTTTGTCAGTGATGATCAAGCTTTTATTCCAGCTGGATGCATCTGTTTGTCCTGAGAAGTGTGACTGCTCTTCAAAAAATGCAATTCATTGCTCTGGTCCCCACATAAAAGACCTGGAATCGCTAAATCTGCCTTGCAACATGACAAAAATTCACATAACGGGCACAAATGTAACATACTTACAGGATATTTTTTCTGGGATGGTGGAGCTGCAGCATCTCATTTTGTCTTCAGACAACATCTCTGTGATTTCACCAATGGCTTTTAAAGGCTTGGGAAGGCTAAAAGCCCTCAAACTGCTAGATAACAAGCTGGTCGAACTTCCCCCAGAAGTGTTTGATGACATGGTGCAGCTCCAGCAATTGATCCTTGAAAACAATAGGTTAAAATCCATCAGAGAAAATCTCTTTGACAAACTAGCTAGTTTGGAGGAGCTTTTCTTGAACAAAAACCAGCTAACAGCACTTCCCAGTGGCGTGCTAAAGAAACTTGCCAAACTCAAAGTACTGAACTTGTCAAGAAATTATTTGGCAGCACTGCCTAGAAATATATTTAGTGCATTAATCAGGCTTAAGAAGCTGATGCTGTATTTTAACAGGCTGTCTTCAATAGAGTCTGGCATGTTTGATAGTCTGAAGGAGCTGCTGGAACTGTTCCTGCATTCCAATAACATCCAGTCCATCAGCCCTGATGCATTTCATTGTCTTCATAAACTGAGAACCCTCACGCTCTCCAGAAACAAGCTTGAGGTTTTGGCTCCTGGGCTCTTTCTGCGCTTGCACGATCTGTCTAAATTGACCTTGTACAGGAACCCTCTGAAGTATCTTCCAGAAGTGTTGTTTGGAGAAATGAGACATCTTGGTAGCCTGTGGCTGTATCACACAAAGCTCTCAACAATACCAGATTTCGTGTTCAGTAACTTGACAAATTTAGAGCTTCTTGTGCTGAGTTTTAATCCAGAGCTTAGTGTTCTTCCTGAGAAGGTATTCAGTGGTCTGAATGAACTTCGGGGCCTTTCTCTGCATACAAATAATATTTCCAGTTTGCCAGAAGGCATCTTCCTGAGCCTTCACAAACTGCAGAACATTTCCCTTTTTGATAAGAGGCTTGAGGTTCTTCCTAGAAACCTCTTTCATAATCTCAGGCACCTTCAGAAAATTTACCTGAATTGTACTAAGCTGCAGTCTCTTCCTGGAGACTTCTTCACTGCTTTACCTGAACTGCAAGAAGTCTTTCTTGATCACAACCCTTGGAAATGTGATTGCCAAATTCTTGGCTTCCGAGATTGGCTCCAGAAGAACATGGAGATAGTTAAAAATGTGCCATCTCTGACATGTCACAGCCCGCTGGCACTACAGAATGTTTCTCTCGTGGCTCTAACAGTTGACCACCTGAAGTGCCTGCCAACAACAGCCATCGCATACCAGGCATTCAGCTTGACTACTCCAACAGCAGTGTCTGCCGTGGATACCAGCACACCCACATCAATTCCTCCTGCAACTCCAGGTTTTACCTACTCATATGCCAAAGATGTTGGACGCCGTCATTTCTCAGATGTTCTAATCCAAACTTCTCCCAGCATGATAGTACAAACCAAGAGTGACAGAGGAAAAGATTTAGCTGCTCTTGCCTGGTGGGATGAGTTTCCAGCCCGCAGGAGTGCTAAACCCTCTTCTAATACCAGGATTGCTTATTGTCAGCTGTTCTTGTGCCTTCACAGTTTGATTTTAGTGCTCCAGACTGTAACCATCATGCTCAGTCTACATGTGGTGGGTAAAACCAGGCAACTCTTGCACTCCAGAAGTACTCCTGCTCAGCCTGTAGTTCTGATAAAATTTTCAAGAAGATAGAGAATACCAGTCAAAGAGAGGTTTAGAAGCATTGATTTGGACGCATTTCAGGCATTTGGGCAGTTGATGCTTGATTCAGATTTGGGTTACAAATCTTCCTAGCAAGAACCGTAAAGACCCTGTCTTTACAGCACAATGAAAGTGCAGTTTTATGTATCGTACAGTGTTTGCTGAAAGTGGTTGTAGTCACTGTATGTTGCTACAGCACTTAATGCACGAACCCAGCGGGAGAACTGAAAGAAAATCTGTGTTCACCTCTGTGCATGTGCTATGGGTTCCCTGCTTCGGCCGGCAGCCCTGTGCCTGCCAGGTGCCGCTGCCTGCGGTCGTGCTCACCCTGCTCGCGTGGACGTGGCACTGACCTGGGGACGTCTGCGTGGGAACACAGATGTAACCATGCCTGCAGTACTCCAGATGCTATTATGCCTTGTACTGCCTCTCCGATGTTTTGTCTTCCCAGTGAAGAAAACAAATGGTATTTTGGGGAAGAGATACTGGAAAAGAGCTTTTAAAAATGGGGCTGAGGGCGGAATGTTACGGTGCAAGTGTCTCAGCTTTTGCTTTCTGTCCTTAGCCCCTTGGCAGGACGTGGCAGGAGGAAGGGGTACGTCCCATTTAGAGCTAACAGCGCTTTCCTCTAGCTTAACTGGAGGAAGATAAGTAGAATGTGGTCTTAGGAAGTACAATGTGTTTTATTGTTTGTTTGGAAACCTTGTAATGGTACTCTGAATTTTGAGTAAACACTTTAGTCCTTAAATTTTGACCAGTGGTCCAAAAAACAAGGTGTTAACTCGCCGCACAATACGGTGAGTCCTGGAACCAGGGTACCAGGCAGGTGCCCAGGTCTGAGTTTTGGCTCCAGAGAGGTGTAGCTGGTTTGAGAACTGGTCTTGGCTGAGTTGGGAGAGAAAGGGATGGTCTCTCCTGGGCTCAGCTAGCAAAACACAGGTGTGCAGCAAACTGGCAGGGAGCCAGCCTGAAATAAGGGCCTGGAAGCATCACAGCCATTTTTGAAGTTGGCTTGGGAACATCAGCATCTCCATCAAAATGCAGTGGCGTGTTCAGTCTCAGTATTTCTACCTTTTCTTGTTACTTAATGTTACTCCCTAACTTCCAGCACTTTCAAGTGTTAATATGCAAAGGTAACTACAAGGCAATAGTGTGGGGTTTGGTTTTCATACTGAAGCGCTTATTAATGTTTTGAACTATATGAATATTTTAGGTTGTAAGTAGACTGGTAGCTGTCAGACTGTATGTGCTCTGGTAGCATTTACCTGTTAGCTTTTATCTTAATTACGTGACTTAGCTTGCTCTTAAAAGCTCTGATGTTGTGCTCAAAAGCCTCTGGATGTGGTTCCCTGGCACCTTGGGCAGGAGACCTTATACTCTAGGAGTCCTGTCACAGCCTTGCTGACTTTCCAACTATCAAAGTTGTTCCTGGATGGCCTTGAAGTGGCATGTTGCAGGCTTGATGGGAAGAGAGCTTACATTTTCTCCAGTTTTGTGACTTGTTCCTTGCTGTGTGTTGGTCTAGGCAACATGAATAAACTACAGACTGCTTTGTTTCACAGTGCTCTGCTACTAGAGTTGAATTCTTCTAGGCTGTGGTAGAGACAATGTGCTTCTGTGGTGTTGTTTAACCATTGTCTTGCTGCTGAGGTTTAACAAAATTTAGTGAGCCTGGCTAAATGGTAGTTAAAGCCATCTGTAAAGAAGGAGAAATACAAGGCACTACAGCTGGTGCAAAGCAAACTGGATTCATAAACAGAAGGTCCAGAATATTTACTGCAATGTATTTGAGAAGCACAAAACCAACATGAAGCTTTCTTGGTGGTGGTTCTGGGTGGTTGCATGCTAGCACTGAAAAATAGGCAGTTGTTACAAATTTAGGTTCTTGGCTGGACAAGTGTAATGACCACCTAGTGCTGTGCCAGCTCCAGCACTGTCGTACTGGTGCCACGCAAGCATCTGCTCGCCGCAGGCAGAAGAGAAATATAATCTGGACTAAGGAGGAAATTGTTCTACAAGCCATGATGGCCGTTGCTTGCCTCGGTGAGGCACTGAAGAAGAGTGCGCGAGGCTACGGGCACTCAGAGGAACGCTGATTTCTAAGAAAAAGCAACAGTTCTGTCACCATGTGTGCGTACAACACCCTGATGTCCGACTCTGGAAGAGCAGCGGGTTAGGAGCAGCTGCTGTCGTTCTGAGCTCTCCTTTGGCCACCCCAGCCCTGCGGTGGGGCCCACTGGGTCTCTGCGCTGCTCCTTTGGCTGCCGTTCCGCGGGCGCTGAGCTCTGGCGTGCGGCTGCGTACAGTCGAGTGCTGAGAGGAGGATGAGTCGTCTCTCCATGCTGTCATCGGGCTTTCCCCACGCTTGAGCCAGACAGGGAGGTGAAGTCAGCAGACAACAAAAGGCTGGAGCAATAAGGGCCTTACTTAACACTTCCTCTGAGGTGTCCAGTTTTGAGCTTCCTCTGATTCATTGCTTGTTGCCCAGCAATGCTCAGCCTTTCTTGAAAAACTCCCTGGCCCGGGAAATCCAAGGATATGCTTGTTTATTTTCCGTCTCCCTTTTGTCTGGGGAAGGGATGGTTTTCCCAGTCAGCATGATGAGGCCATGGCAGGCGAGGAGGCAGCAGCGGGGACTCCTTGGGCAAAGTGCAGCTGCACCTCAGACCCTCTCTGAGCAGCATTGCCTTGCTGTGGTCTCAAAACACTGATGGCTTTCCATCGCCAGTGTATTGGCAAAGTTTCCTCTTGTCCCTGCAGCCCAGACCTCCATGATCTACCACCCAGCCTTCACCACCTGGCTGGGTTTGGGAGGAACACAGGGTGGGAAGAGGTTGAAGGTATCTAATCACTGGTCTGGGTGTCCCAGCTGCTGGGGAAAAGGTGAATGTGAATTATGTCTGCACTCAGTGCCTGAGGGGGTGAGCTGCTCACTCTTGGCTACTGTGCAGGTTACGGAGTCAGAGCTGACAGCCTGGCGTTAACCAGACCTCTGGCTCCAGGAGCTGCCTCTGGGGCCACACCTGGCTGGGAGCACTTGGGGTATGTCACCAGCACAGCCTGGCCAAGGGTCTTCTGTAACTCACTTGGTTCTCTAAAATGCTTGTTTCTGTGGTGGTTGTTCCTGCTCTCTGCTTTAGCAAATCCTGGAGCAGCCTGTGCTGGCCTGTGCGAGTATGCAACAATTTTCCAGCCTGATGTCGCTGCAGGTGCCATTCCCCTTTGCTTGTTGGGACTTGAATGCACGGAGTCTCCAAAGAGCAGAGTGGTGAGGAGGAAATTGCTGCTCTAAGCACTGGCAGCTCTGTCTGTTTCCCAGCTGATGTAGGACTCTTCCAAGCCACCAGCACCTGTCCTGTTCTTGTGTCCCCTGGTGTGTCTGTCCTTTCCATCTCACCTCTGCCATGTGAAGCCAGTGCCTGCTGGAGGGCTCTTGTCACTGCTTGCAGAAGAGAGTGAGCTCAGGTAGGTGCCTACTAAATGCAGCTCGACCCTCCAGCACACAGCAGCAAGATCGGAGCCTGCGCCTCGGATCTTCCCCTCTCTTGGTGGCACGGAGAAGCCAGGTGATGGCAGATGTGCTTGGAGAAGACACCCAGCAGTGCTCCGTGGTTCAGGAGTGTGTGTGACCACTGGCTGTGAGGCAGGAGCTCTGGGAGCCTCTGCCTGATGTTACAGAGCACTGGCCATCTTTCATTCAGAGCTCTGACCAGCACATCTCACCTGAGGATGCTGGTTTGGGAGCACGACATTTCCTAGGGATGACAGAACAGCTGGGAGGAGGCACTTGCCTGTGGGATACGCTGGGATTGTGAGTGTTTACACAATTTTACAGTGGTCAGGAAGCCTGAAGCTCCTGCCTTGCCCCTGCTCCACCAGAGAGGGGCAAGCTGTGGAGGTGGTGTGCCTCCATTTTTATAGCCAAAGTCTGGGTTCTCATCCCTTTCCCTCCTTGGGTGTTCATGAGTGACTAAGCCCTGGCACAGTTTCTTCACTGTGGGCTTGGGGGCTGCTGGTCCAGCAGCACCCAGAGCCATCCTGCCACCAGACTCAGCCCCTCTTGTGCAATTGCTGCTCTAGGACTGTGGACTTTCTTGACTACATGCCAGCCTTCCAGCTGTGCCTTTGTGTCTCTCTAGATGAAAGAAGCCCAGGGCAGGGAGCCAGTGATGGCTAGCAGTAGCTCTGCAGCCTGCTGTGCGCTTCTCTGCTGCCTTCCCCTGGGCCCTGGGGAGGGATGGGCCCCCTTCCCTCTTGGGGTGTTAGGAAGGGGTCCCTGGGGTATTCCCTGGTGCCAGGATTGGCTTTATGGAGATGGAGAATAGGGGAAAGTTGGTCCCGCAAGCACCTTGCAGTACATGAGCTGGGACAGCCCCCTTCTATTGCCTCCTGCTCCAGCTGGTCCTTCCCCCTTTTCACAGCACCCATTGGACAAGCTCTTTCCGCTTTGGATTATCTCTCCAGGCAGACTTGGCTGCAGGCCCCACGTTCCGTCCAGCCCAGTGCTGCCCTGAGCCTGCGCCAAGCCCTGTGGGCTGCTGCTATCGCTCTGGGCTCGAGCCAAGCCTAGGGGAGACGTTTCTGCTGACTGCGTGAGCCCCAGCGGTGCTTGAGATCCTAAATGCTGTTTTCCTTGAGCTCCAGGAGGGCTGTTCTGGATCTTGTGCCGATGCTGAAATGGAGGTTAGCCTGACGGTCACCCTTGCTGCCTATCCTGGAGGGACTGGGGCTACTGCTCCTTCCCAAAGCTCCCACCCTGCACATGCACTTTCCCAGGGGAAGGTGGGACATGTCCCCATCCCTTGGGGTGTCCCATAGGTGTGAGCAGCAAGGCAGCCCTGGCCCTACATTTGTCGAGCAGGGAGCTGAAAATGCTGTGGGGCTGAGTCACAGGCCCTGTGAAGGTCCAATCTGGTTTGGGCTCCTCAGAGGGTCAGAGTGGGCATGTGGTGGGGAAGAGGCTGCTGCCACCTCTCTAACAGGTGAGGGGC